CAAGACTATATATACAAGGTGTATTTTTCTCAATAAGCAGTAGAGATTTTTTCCTACCCTGAAATATGTTAATTATTTGTAATATATTGAACATAATAATATATTGTTCAATATATTGTTCAATATATTTGTAATATATTGAACATTGTAACATAACACAGATAGTAAAGCTAGGAAAAAAAGACCTTTTCACCTCATCAGATCACAATTTAAAGTTTTGCTGAATTACAGCATAAATATAGAAAAATATGTTTTCAGTCCTTTATGTTAGCATGGCACGGAAGATTTTGACCAAGACTTGGCATAAGAGCAATCACTTACAATTTGCTGCCACAACTGGGTTTACAACCCGACTCTTAATTGGCCAAAGAATTAGCCTCAAACTAGGACAAAAACTATGGGAGAGGTGTAAAAGATCCACTGTATTTAGTAAGGTAGGCAAGAAAAAATGTTACCTACCATTAATCTCAAGAAAACAGCAATTGCTATTTGGCAGCCAACACTTCACACCAAGGTTGTTGCCAATCAGTCTGACGCTGAAAAGTGAGAAGGTATAAGAAACACGAAAGACCAAGAACCTCATAGATCACTGATGTGCAAGAGAAAGTATGAATATAGCTGCTCAGATTGTTCAAGGCGAGTGAATACTTTCTCATTCTTGCTGAACAGACATGTCGAAATTTGGTACCAGCACAAATATAGTGCCACTCCTTCACCACTCCCAGTGATGAGTATACTGATAAACACCTCTAAAACATGTTGCCTAACAACTTGTCTTGTTAGCACAGGCTTTCTTTCCACAAGGGAGAAACATATCACTGATTGATCCTATGCAGATCAACTGGTTAATGGTCCCTCAAGTTGTATTTTGACTTTAGTTACCTTCCACTTTTACAGGTTGTAAGACTTGAAAGACCATATCACCTGTCAGTCTCTAAGACTACCCAATCTTGTTATACAGAACTGCCAGAGAGTCCCTGTTTCACTGAAGTCAGGAGAGAAATACACTTCATTTCTATGACTTCTGTTTTAATTTACAATGACACTTGAACATCTCTTGAAGCATTTACAGTTGAAAACCATCAGTAGCAAAATATGCAAGAGGGAAGCTGCAAGATCTCAAGCTTATGCAAATACTACAAGCTGTACCAAATACCTGATTGCTAGTCTAATTTTGTCAAGCTGCCTTGCATGGAAATCTGCAATTTGCACTGCACTGTTTTCATGTTCATGCAGAGCCATTAAGTGGGAAAGATGGACAAGCAGACTTTCGTAATGCAGAGCTCTCCAGCAAGTTCAGCTTGAAAACCGGTTTTCTCCTGCGTCTTGTAGAGAACCAGAACATCTAGTCTGATCTTGATAGACAAGCGTGAGATAAAACACAAAAATCAAAACATTTCTGCAAAAGCAACGAGACGAGAAAGAGTTCCTTAATCACTATCAACTGTATGATAGACAGGTAAGGACTGCAAAGTATGTCTGCGCAAAAAGTTCAAAATAAATAAATCCACAAAGGAACACAGTGACACTCCAGTGGAGTCTCGCATCAGGAGATTCAGCAGTAGGGAAGTCACTTTCTATCTATTATGGGTTTAGGAGAAATTAGAAAGTATACATTTAGACAGGAACACAGCTGCAATCTCTAAATATGAAACAGCATTTTACCACTCTCTAGTTAGACACATCTAATAAACAAGCCATCTGCCACCTTTCATCTACAATAAATCCTTGAAAGAGAAAATATTAAAATATTGTGTTGATCAGACACAACTTAACCTACTTCTAGAAAGTTAAAAATAGTTTTTTTTTAATAAAAAATATTCTGCTTTGTAATGGCACTTGCCTTTTCCCTTTCCCCATAAAGGACGGATTATATTCCAACAAACTTGGAAGCAAAGAAACTGCTCTATGCAACTCATCATTTTCATCTTTTCTTAAAGAGCAGAAAGAAATGGGTGGCTTAAAATACAAATATTCTCAAGCTTTAAGTGTTACAGCTTTTGGATGAGAGGTCTCACTATTCCAGAAAACACTAAGCATAACTGACATCTTTTGATAAATTTGGCTTTAATTTAAAATACAGCTCAAACCAATAAAAGTAATGAACTACTAGAAAACCTAAACTTAGAAATGATTCAACTTATTAGCCATCCATAACAAAGTCATATATATTCCAAAAATCTTTTTTATTCTCATATTCTGAAAATATTCTCATTCCTGTTTTAATTATTTCACATATACAAAGAAAAGCCTGACACTATATCAAGACTTTATTCCAAGATGACAGTATTTTCAGCCGTTAGCAAACTGTAACTGTTCCCATAGACAAAGTAAAGAGTGGCGAGGCCAGAATCTTCAATTCCAGAGAGTCCTGTTGATCAACAGTGTCTTACATGTCCCATGTGAAGCACTATTATTATCTCAAGCAGCTGCTTTATATTAATTAGGAAGCTGGTAATGAAAATCAAGCAATTTGCATAGGGATCAGGCAGTCTCTCCAAAAGCTCCAAAATATAACAAAAATAATTTATGCACATACCTAATCATAAATGTGGGTTCCTCACTCCCTTGCTTAGAACTTTTTTCAGAAAGGGTTCTCTTACTCAACTGCTACTCCAGCTGCAAATCCTTCTCACAAATCCTCCAGCTTTCTCTTTACAAAGTTTCTGAAATAGTAACTAGTTGAGAAGTCACATTATACTGCAGAGGAGGAAGAAGGTTTTATAACTCTCTTACAGGACCTTTTATCCTATAGGATAAATAGGATAGGATCGAAAAAGGTCCAAGCATTTTTTTTTTTTTTTGCTTCTAAGCCATACACTTAAACAGCAACAAAAAAACACCTTTTACACTGAGAACAAGTACAGAATATAAGGTGATTTGCTGCCTCCTAAGACGCATACTCAAAAATCACATATCTAAGATAATGCTGATAAAGCAGATCAACACTGTCAATGCTCCAGAAATACAATAGTTTTCTGCTAGCTACAAAAATCAAGATGAACAAAAGCTACATGAGTGGCATAAGCAGAAAAGGCAGCCTTTGGACTCTGCTACGCATACCCTTATTTAGCATGCGTGGCCTGTAAGCACTTTTTTTTTTTTAATAACATTCTATCAGATCCTTAATATTGCAGGTTTTGTATTAGCTTTTTTAGAAAGTGCATGCTGTATCAAAACTGATTCAACACAGATGCCCAGCTCTTGTATCAGAGTACATCAAGCTGTCAATGACAGAACTACCAACATGAATCCCCACCCAAAGAAGATGCACTTATAAAACTCTTGCCTTCTTGCTTCTGTCTTCTTTGAGGCAGAACAAAATATTAAATTCACTTTTCAAAGCCACTTAAAATACATACAATTGCACTTTATACATTTTCCTCTCAATTTATAAATTTCATTTATAAACAAAAATAGAATGAAAAAATAGGAGTCCTATCATATCTACTTTGAAAAATATGTTTTAGTTTTGTAACAAACCTCTTTATTATCTGTACTACACAGCTGCCATCTAGATATGGTGCAATACAGGTGTAGGCAACAGCAGTTTTTCTCATTCTGTAACAGTACAACAGAAACATAAATGTTGAAGCTCTTCTTGCAGCAAAACAGTGCAACTCTGGGCAGAACTTTTTCCTCTGTGGATCACCTCCACCTATAAAGTCTCTCTAACTAAGGAAGTCATTGATTTACACTTAATAATGATGAATTTTATTTCAGTTAATTTCCTCATTCTCTCTTTTCCTGCACAAATTGGGAAGGAAGTTTTCTTTGCCCATACAGAGCTCTAAGTAACCAAACTCTGTCAAAGATATAAAGGCTTTTTTCTTTGCTCAAGAATTAAAATGGGACTGGAACAAGTTATATAACCGTTAAAGAGTGCCAAGTGTCTTCAGTTGTGTCAGACTTCATTAAGGATTAACGCTGATTAAGAGATAGCAAAGAGAAAGAAACCATAAAACCAAAGAAAAGCCTAAAATTCAAGAAAGTCAAAAGGTTACACTATGATCACCCACCCCTTTCAGTAAAGAAAGCCAGGGAAAAGATCTTGAGCTTTCAACATCTCTGCTAGAAGCACACAAATAAAAGCAGTGAACAGGATAAAGACAGTTAACAGGGTTACCGTTTCCCACATGTCTTTACCTTTTATTTTTTTTAATTTGAAAAGAAACGCGTTCGTGCCCCAGGCAGAAGGCAGGATCCAGCAAACTACCCTTTATTATAGACGTACATTTATATAGACACCAACAGGGATACCTGGGTAGTGGCGCGGGAGGGCGGGCAGGGCAAAGAGCCGCCGCCGCCAGGAGCGCCGGAGGCAGCTACGAGGTCAGCAACGAGGCCGCGCCGGAGCCGGAGCCGGAGCCTCCGCCGGGCAACCCTCCCCCGACTCGGTGCCCCCGGCCCTACCTGAGGCCGCGGAAGAAGCGTCGCCTCCGCCGCCCGCTCCGCAACCGCCACCAACGCGCCCGCCGCACTGCGCACGCGCACTCCCCCCACACACACCCCAAAAGCAGTTGGGACTCGCCCCCTTCCTCCCCGCAAGTAATGCCGGGATCTGTAGTCCGAGGGGGAGGAGGGCGCGCGGCAGGCTGGGATGCGGAGTCCGCCGGCGGCAGCCTGGGAATTGCTCCTGCTGGAGCGTTTCTCTGAGTGGGAAGGCGCCCGTTCTGCCCTCTCTGCCCCCGTTTCCGCGCCCGCGGGGGCCGCGCTGCACCGGGAGGCTTGTCCCGCCCCGCGCCCGCGTGTATCCGGTGGCGCCGAGCGGAGCGGAGGCGGCGGGAGTGTTTGATGGCGTCGCCTAGCAGCGGCCTCCGCCGCCATCGCGGCCCTCGGGGAGCGGTGAGGCCGCGAGCGAGAGGCGGGCCGGGGTCCCGGGGCTCCGTCCTGCCACCCCCTCCACCGCCCCTCCCCCTCTCCGCCTGGGCGGCCACTGCCGTTGCGGGCGTTACAGCCGTTACAGCTGTTTCGGCGGTGCGCAGCGGAGCTGCGCCTGGAGAGCCGCGTTTGCGGAGCACAAGTAGTTTAATGTGAGCTGATCCCCAAGTAAGGGTTTAGCGGAGCGGCTGTGCTGCGTGGCTGTGCTGGATTTCAGTGTTTGTTCTTGCTCAGGCGTTCCGTTTAGGCGTTACACTCGGGCAGGCTGTTAGGGCTGCTCCTCGCTCTGCTGGATTTGCTGTGGTTTAGGCTGAAGGGTCGGCGTGGCAGTTACCTGCCTCCCCTTCTGGTGTTTATTGCAGGCAGCGTTAGGCATGTAAAGTGAACTTACCGCTATGCTTCACGTTTTACCTGCAGAACTTTCCAGACCGTTTTAGATAAGCCTATTTTCCTGCATAAGCAAAGCAAGTTTTGTGCTAACTCAAGTCAAATGCAAGTATTTATAGAAACATGATCTGTTCCTCTTACCACACAAATCTAACAAATACACATGTCAGCGAGGGGAAGAGGTCAGCCAAATTTAATGATGGAAAGCATTTCAGTGGATCAATCCATGTCCCTATTGTTGCTCTCATTATATTGAGAGCTTTCAATATATCTCTCTGTTATATTTGACATATAGTATTATTGTGGTCACTTAATAGTAGCTAAGTCTTAATCTAATTAATATTAATGAACTAAATGTCCTAGGTAATTTTATGTCTGTCTTAACTTTCTAAACAAATAAAGCCATAATTATAATTTGGGGCAATCTATAAGTAGTTGAAAAATGTTCCCGTTTAAACTTGACAGAATGTAGTTTTTGTAGTATTGCTGATACAGGATAGCAGCAGCTCTGGAGAATGTGGTAATCCCAAGACTTGTGTCCTCTTTTGCCTTTTCAGGTACGGTGTTGACCTCCAGGACTACGAGAAGACATTGGGACCCACAGCAATTGTCAGGTAAATTGTAGAACAAAATGTGGCATCACTTTCAGGTTAGATTTGCATCAGTTTTCAGGTGGTTTACTGTACTTTTTGGATTCAGGTCCTCTAGTGAGAACAAAAAGAGATTTAATACAGGTGCTCAATGTCTTAGAAATTAATGTCGATAAATGCATATGCATAGTATCAAACTAAAGCAGGTCCTATATTTTAAATATAAGAAGTAATGATTTCTGTCACTATAAGGGTATTTCTCTTCTTCAACATCCAGCTGTAGGAGTAAGTATTTATCTATTAACATATGGGTGCTGCATCAGGAAGTTGGGAATTAAAACAAGGCATTAAAATAGAGGTTTCACATACACCATCTTCAGTATATGTTTTATATGGTTTTTTTTTATTGCACATGATATAATTTTTGACTTAAAGGGAAAAAGGTGTTATTACAGACCTTTGGTTACAGTAGACTAAAATGTGAATGGAATGTTAATCTCTGTTGTAAAATTCGTACAGCTATTTAATATCATTTATGTGGTTCACTAATCTGCATCTGTGAAATTATTTGGTGAAAAATTGATCAACAGTCGTAACATTTTTTTTTCTCTCCAGGAAAAATATTATAAATTCAACATGGCACCTCTTTTAGATTGGAAGAAGCTGATGAAAGTTGATCCAGATGCTCTTCCTCATCAAGAGGAGCTAGCAGATAGATTGCTGGAGACTGTGTCCAAGGTACTCAAGTGAAAAACAGTGAACATAAGAGTTTTGTTAATCATTGTTTCCTCAACTCTCTCTGGCCCTTCACATAGACAAATGCTTTTATTTTAATTTCATTGATTTTTAAAATTTATATTATATTATATACACTTTTGTCTTTTTCCTTAGGTTGACGGAAAAGACTTAAAAAATGAAGCTGCTGAACAATTGGTACATCTTTTCAAAATTGCTCAGTCACTAATGAAGGTTTGTATCCTTCCTTTCTACACTTCAGTAGTTGAATATGTTTGTGGATTTTTTTTTATGTAAGTGAAAGCATAGTCGCTCTTTTTTTTTTTTCCTACATTGAACATACTGCTTACTAGAGTAATTGACTTTGAGTTGTTATGTACTAAATGTATGCATGCACCAGAATTCTTGCTTAGAGTTGTTAGGTTTATGACATTTACCAATGGGAAATAACACGACTAGTACTAAAACAGTTGTATTGTTAGGAACTTTGCTAGCAGTGGAAAATACAAGCAAATACCTCAAAAAGAGGCAGGATGTTATAAATTATTATCAATAATATGACTTTTATATGAATCTTTATGGCAGGATGATGTTTTGGAGTAATCTTAAATGCATAAATGTCACTGTTTGTAGAAGAAACGGAGTCATCCTAACGACTGTTGATCAATTTTTCACCAAATAAAATTTTTGTGAATTTATCATGATATCTTATATTTGCTTATAAACATTTTGGAAGCAAGAAATTAAAGATGCAGAGGTTGCTGTTAGAGAGGCTTTTTAAAAAGTTTTTTCTCAATCATACATCTTAGATTGTTTAGATAGATCCATAAAAATAAAGTTGATATTTTAACAGAGTAAAGTTCTTAACTGTCATGGGGACGTCACCATAGTGAAAAAATATGGTTACATTTGTTTGAAGAGAAAAAAAATACTATTTTTGATAAATGTTTTCAGCATTCTGAACATGAGGTGTGTGTTGTTTATTTGTTTCAGATGAAAGCTCAAGAGGTCGAGCTGGCATTAGAAGAAGTTGAAAAAGCTGGAGAAGAGCAAGCCAAATGTGGTAAGCAAGCCTTTTTTGAATATATCTATTGTCTTTAGTGCTGTTTAAGAAGAATTTGTTAAATGCATTTGGTGTATTTTTTAAGTAAAAGGAACTAAATAAAAGCATAGAATTATTATGGTCAGAAAAGACCTTCAAGAACATTGAGTCCAACTGTAAACCCATCATCACCAGGGCTGCTAAGCCATCTCCTTAAGTGCCTCATCTACATGTTTCTTGAACATGTAGGGATCATGACTTTACCACTTCCTTGGGCAGCCTGTTCCAATGCTTCACCAATCTTTTTCTTGTAGAAATTCTTCCTAATATCTAACCTGAACCTCCCCTGGTACAGCTTGAGGTCATTTCCTCTTGTCCTACAAGAGGTTCTTTGGAAGAAGAGACCGACCCACACCTCACTACAGTATAAATACCGCTGAAGTCAATCGCAAATGATATTAGTATTCTAGGTATTTTTAAGTTTATGAAGTAATTCAGTATTTCTTATTTATTTTAACAGAAAATCAATTTAAAACAAAGGTGATGAAACTTGAAAATGAATTAGAGGTATGTTTTAAATTTTTGTTAGTTTTTAGACTGTTGATGTCCTTTTGTTTTAATGCAGTTCTTTACAATTGCAGTTTAATATTTTACTAAAAATAAAAAGGAGTGGTTTTATTAATAATTTTAAAACTTGATACATCTTCAATTTTCAGTCAAGTAATTGAAATGTAAATTGATCAAAGGCTTGGTTTCTGGATCAGACTCTCATTTCTTACTTTTTCTATTGAAAGACAATTCTCTTTCTACTAAAGAGACATAGTAGTTATACAGTTTAGCTATTTCTTTTTATTGGCTTTTGAATATTCACCAGCCTCAAGTTTGGAAGGAGCTGTATGCAGAGCTGTATGTACTTTTTTTTTTTTTTTGGTTATGTTTGAAAACATTCCATTGATTTTTGTTGTTGTTGTTACAGTTGGCAGAAGGTACTGTGCACTATCTGTTTATGCCCTTGCCCTACTTAAACATTAGTCTTAGCATCTGGTTAGGTTCTTATTTCTTTCTAGTTTAAAGAGCTGAGCTATACTTACAATACTGTCTATTTTAATGCTCTTAAGATGGCACTAAGATCTGCTGGTGGTCGTGATACTCGTTTTTTGCGTGATGAGATCCATCAACTGGAAAAACAATTGGGACAAAAAGAGAGAGAGTTAACAGATATGGAAAAAGAATTGGAAAAAGAGAAGAAAGTTAATGAACAGGTAAAATGGATTTCAGTTTGACATCTCTAAAGCTCTGAAGGCTCTGAAATATTTTTTGAAAGGTCAATATTCTGAGAAAAGGCTCTGCAGTTGAAAAGTGATGGAATAGGACCACAGTGTATTCATTTTCGGATTTGTTTCTGAAGCTCTTTGTTTTTGTAGCTTATGATATTAGCAGTTCATGTAAAAAGTTTATTCATGTTGTTCTAGCTTGCTCTTCGAACTGAAGATGCAGAAAATGAAAACATCAAATTAAGGAGAGAGGTTAGTGAAGCATTATATATATTAGGTGTTCAATTCATGGGTGATATTCTTGACTTTTAACTCTCTGTATTTGTAAATGCATTTTTAAATGTATAGCATCCTATATTTAATAGTTTTGGGGGTTGCGTGACCTTTAATTCTCTTTTAGTACATTTTCTACATACAAAGAGAAGTTTTAACTTCATTGAACATATTCAGTATTCAGATTTGTCAAATATATAATACTTTTCTCTGGTGAAACTTGTCTAATTGAAGCCAGGATCTGTTTACACTTAATCTAGATGGTTGTAAGATACTGTATGTTAATTTTGTGTGGACTTTTTTTTCTGAGTTTTTAGTGTTTTTCTTAAGTTATTGACAAATTAATACCAGGTCATCATGGTTTATGCTTGCTTTTTTTGTTTAGATTGGGTTAAAATAAATTTAGTACGATAAGTCAAAAGTTAATACAAGAGTAAATGAAAAGATAAGATTTAATGTTCTTTATTGCTAGATATTTAAAATAAGAACCTTTTCTTAAAACATTTTTATAGCTGCCTTTTGAACTTTCAAGACTTGTACTTTTCCTGGCCTCTGGTAGATTAAAACTGGCAGCAAAAGTTTAAGTTTTTGTCCTGCTATAAACCTTGGAAAGCATTTCTCAAATGTGCCCTTTTGTCCATCTAATGTATGTATGTGTACATATATTAGATGTATGTATCTATAATGTATGCATGGGTACACACACAGGGTATATAGAAAGTTCAATATATTTTGCCTTTATTTTGAATCCTTTTTAGTCTTCATAATACTTCTAACTTCTAATACTTTTCGTGCTTTCTTCTCTTGATCTTGTTCTCTCCTTTTTAATCCAAAGAAAAAAAGAGTAAAGAAAAAGGTGAGGCTTTTTAAGTATTTAAAAGCAAACTGTAGGAATTTGGATAGGCTTTGCTATTTGTGTTAGCACTTTGTGTTAGCTTAATAGAAAAAAAAAAAACACTCAAAAATTAAATCTACTTTAAAGCATTTAAATTTAGATTATTTTCTGTACAGAATGAACAGTTGCGTCAGGATGTAATTGACTATCAGAGGCAAATAGATTCTCAAAAGGAAACAATTTTGTCAAGACGAGATGATTCTGATTACAGATCACAGTTGTCCAAAAAGAACTTCGAGCTTGTCCAATATTTGGATGAGATTCAGGTAAAATTTATTTAAGATATTGCATTTTTATTAAACTATTATTAGCAACAGTATTTTTAATTATGTCATCTTATAGGTTAAATAAGCTGGGTGGGTTAATAAGATAGTGGGTTGGTTGACACATTAACTATGCTTCTGAGCATCCGAGGAAACAAAGTCATTGGTCTGGGTATTGAGAGATGTCTGTTTAAGAATAAAGTTTTAATGAATAGCTGTAGGGATTTTCTGAATTCGGTAATTCAGAGAGGCTTACATTTAATGTAGCTGTGAATTGCTGGTTATTCAGAAGCGTGCATTTTTAAAAGCATCTTTTTCTTTAATTTTGTAGAACTTAACTGAAACTAATGAGAAGCTAGATGTTCAAAACCAGGAAATGAGAAAGAATCTTGAGGAATCAGTACAAGAAATGGAGAAGATGACTGATGAATATAACAAAATGAAACTGATTGTGCAACAATCTGATATTCTTATGGATCAGTTAAGAAAGGAGAAAGAACAATATAAATTTCAAGTAAGAAAGAGATTTTATAATTCTGTATATTCTTTTTGTTTTTTGATATTCAGTTTTTGAACACATGCTCAGCTGCAAACCTTGATTTTTAAACTGGATGGAAGTGTTAAGAACTTGGTAGCAGATTATGAAATATTTTTGTTTGTCATACTGATTTTAGAATCATAACCTTGCTGCTATCATGCTAATTGTTTAGTTGTGTGTACTAGAGACTATGTGTTTATACCCATTTAAGGGTTAAGCAAAACAATTCTATGAGACGATGTTGACCCAAATAGCTTTTATAGGTTCAAGAACTTTCAGACCAGCTGAAGGCAAAGAATGAAGAAGATGATCCGCTCATGGCAGCAGTAAATGCAAAAGTTGAAGAATGGAAGGTACTTTGCGATAGATTTGACTACTTTTTACTGCAGTTTTGATTCTTTTCAGGAATTATTTAAAGTGTTCTCATGATATTTTACTTCTTTTCAGAAAATATTGACTTCAAAAGATGATGAACTCTTCGAGTATCAGCAAATGTTGTTTAACTTAAAAGAAAAAGTGAAAATGGCCGAACTAGATGTCGACAGAAACAATGTTATGGCCCTTCAGCAGGTATTATCTGCATGAGCGCGCGCGCACACACACACACACACACACACTAACATGTAAAATATAATTCGTGAAGTATACCACTGATCAAATTCATTATTCAGATTTTGTGTTTTGCAAATAACAGAATATACCTGTTACTCATTTTGAGATTTGCGAGACTGGCAGATTTATTTTTCTATAGGTTAGTTTAATATCCTAGGTATAGAGAAACCAACTTTCTTTGTAGTTATGAACTGAACTTTCTTTAGCTCTTTTTGTTCCTTTCATATGTCTAAATATTAGCAGAATTGTTCTTTTAACTTCTGAGCATTCTGTATTTAATGTTAAATTATATTTTAGCATCTGACTTTTAAGAATTTGTTAAATTCTTAAAATTTAGGAGAAGTTATAACTCTTAACAAATAGTTAATCTGATGTGTTTATTTGACTCACTTGTGACAAATTACTAAGCCTGTGATTCAGCCCAGTCTAACTGAATTTAAATACCCCTTAATTTAATTCAGAGTTAGCAAAGTTGTTAAAAATTCTGGAGTTTCTCTATTTACATTTTTAAAAGCTTTATTAGAGGAAGAATGCCGTTAGGAACCCTGTGGTTCCTAGGTTATGGAAAAAAACATATTTTCATGACTCCAGGATGATTTCCAAACTCACCTCATGTTTTTTGAATAGATATAATGGTGATGTATTTGAGCCTTTGTAGACTGAGCAGTATGTTGAGATAAATTTATGCAGTATTCCAAAACTAGGAGCTAGCAGGCTTTCAGGAGGGAAAAAAAAAGTACAAAACTGTCTGTCAGTATCATAATTAGAAAAGCAGTTGAAGTTCAGCTCTTACAGGAGGTCGTGAAGTCTCATTTTTAGCTGTCTGTATGTCTGTAGAAATTGTCTTACAGAATTATGGAGGAGGGAAAAAAAATTGCCTTTGGTCCATATTTTGAATGGATAACACAGTAACATACATTAAATATTTGGTTTAAAAAATGTGCTTATTTCCACAACTCTAAGTGGAATATTAATGACCGTCATCCAAAAAGGCAATGTAAGCTGCTCTTGAGATTTTTAAATTGCAGTTACAACTTTACAGTTACAGCTTAACCACTTCACAGAAAGTTTTTTTTTTCTAAATCCTTTTTTTCCTATGCTGTTTGATTCAAAAAAAAAAAAAAAAAAAGACCTGTAATATTTCCATAGGCTCAGAAATAGTATCATATCAATAGAAGTCACTTTCACAGTTTCTATGTATTTAGATTTGTGTATGTGTTTAGCGCAAGATGATGTAGAAATATGGTTAGCAAGTTAGATAATTTTTTAAAAGGTATTCTTGCAAGAAAGATGTGAGATGCCATATGTGACAGAACACTTGTCTTCCTGATCTTGAATTTGTATATCAGTTCCTTCCAACAATTGTCCATGAAGAAGCCCTAGTAAACCTGTATAGTCTGAAAGTGTCCATGATGCATTTGTTTAACCTCGACTTAAAGAACTGTTCCGTCAAAAATGGATATATTAAAGCACTGCTTTAATGTGATTTTATTTTTGAATGCTTTATTTTTACAATTTTTCTTTTTTTGTTATTGCTTTGCCTTCTTATACCCAACTTCTAGATAATATCAGAACTGTATGTTGTAAGTACAGAATATTTGCTTTTTTCCTATAATTCTTATATATTAACTTTTTTTCCTTTATTTTTTTAATTCATTTAGCTTAGAAAAAAATATGTTGTACTCTTAGTGATTGGTTAAGTAGAGAATAATTTCTGTAATGGATGTGTTTTGTTCAGTTTATTTTGTTTTATTTATTTATTGGTAGGGTATGAAAGAGCGAGATGCTCAGATAAGATTGCTTACTGAGCAAATTGAGCAATACACCAAAGAAATGGAAAAAAATGCATTGATTATTGAGGAATTGAAAAATGAACTACAGAAAGATAAAGGTAATTAGGGGAAAACTAAAAAAGCGCCAGTTTACTGTGTCTGTGTAGTTATTCTTTATAAAGACTGAAAATATATCATGTTTCTTGCTTATATTCTTTCACAGTACTTCAGTAGAATATAAATATAATACTTGATATTATAATATATTATTATGAGTAGTAATTAAAGCTCATATCTAAAGTCTCTGAAGTATTTGGTAATACCTAATTAAAAGAGCAGAATATGAAAGTCTCTTTATAATAGCCCCCAAAATATTGTTTTTCCTGTGCTCAATTGTTGATAGTTAGAAATTCTTGTTTTAAATGTAAATAGATCAACGTTTTTGTCTGTTTTTTTTCCAGGTCCCTCATCTCTTGCTCAGCAGAACCGTATTGGAGAAATGCAAGAAAAGTTAAAACTTCTAGAAGAGAGAGCTAAGGAGGCTGAGAAATCAGCAGAATTAGCAGAAGCAGATGCCAGAGAAAAAGACAAAGAACTCATTGAAGCTCTGAAACGAATGAGAGACTATGAAATGGTAAATGATTTGTCAGCGTGTATAGGGTATTTTATCAAAATTTTAGCAGATCATTTTGTCATTGACTTTTCTTGTACACTATTCTAACTGAAATTAAAGAATGACTTCTAATGCTATTTTTTTTCTGATTATACATTTAGTGGTTTGTGATTACATACAACTTGTCGGTTTTAACCTGTTCATATGGGCTTGTGGATTAATACTAATTGTACAGTAAAGATGAGGATCCATTGAAGGTTTGTTGTATAACGTAAGAGGACTCTATTTTGAAATACCTAGAGAAAATCAGTTAAAAATAAAATACAGGTGTACTTAGTTTAAAAAAAAAAATTATAATATACCCAAGTTCGTCTTTGCGAAGTTCACTGTATGATTAATGTCTAGATTATAGACTCCTTTATAAAGTATAGTATACTATGCTTTATTGCTCTCTAGTATGTCTCTTTTTCAGTAACCATATTTTGAGTCAACTATTGTCAAACACTCAGTATGATCAGTACTCTGAAAAGACAGATTTTAAAGGTCTACATGACTCTTTTCACTCTAAACAGTGTAGAAGTATAGCCTCAAAAACAGTTTTGTTGTTACATAAGAGTTTAACGATTTATTGATGTAAAAAGTAGAAGAGATTCTTTCAGAAAAGTACCTTTCTCATGTGTATCCTAAGTTTTCTATGTTTGTTAGTATAAAGTTTGAATAACAGCAGTTGCTTACTAAGCTTGTTGTATTATTTTTAATTATTGTCCTCAGTAATGATGAAATATAGATTTGTAATTTTTTTTTCTTATGTATTGGTTTGTTATTTTCTTTTTAATTCCCATTTGCATTTTTTGCAGGGAATATATGGTTTGGAAGAAGCTGTTGCTGAAATAAAAGATTTGAAAAAGCAAACCAAAATAAGAGATCATGAGATTGAGATACTAATTAAGGAAGTCAATAAGCTTGAACTTAAAGTAAATGATTTTCTTGATGAAAATGAAGAACTGAGAGAACGTTTAGGTATACTATATGCATTAGATATATAATTATTCATTATGTGAAAATTGAAATAACGTCAGTGGATGTCTTTTACTGCTTGAGAAAAAATTTGTACATTGTGCTAATATTTGCAGGTGGTTGAACTTAGTTAGGATAAACTGCATGACTGTGCATAACTAATGTTGGCTAAAGTTTTGACTGAGCAGGAAAATAGGGTTTGCAGGGTTTTTGTTATTTTGTTTACTCTTTGATTGTACACTGCTTAATTCACTTCATATTGTAATAGTTTGAAACCAAAACATGTAATGCTAGAAGAAAAAGCGTGGAGGAAGGTTTGGAAAGGCTTGTTTATGTTTATGTTCTACAGGAAAAAAATAGATTTAATTTTAAGAAGCTTTTTATTGTTTTTTTGAGTAGAGTAAAAGTATGTTTTTTATGATCATGTCGTATACAGTGCAATGTGTGTCTGTATAAATACTATACATATAATGTGTAATATGCATTTTTTAGCCGTCAACATTTTTTTTTAATTTTATTTGACTACCTGTATTCTTATTTGAATGCATGACACACTAATAACCAGTAACTCTAATTTCAATGTTCTTTTTAACAGTTTACTATAGAGCATATACTGTATTTCAGGTCTTGAGCCCAAGACAATGATTGATTTAAATGAATTGAGAAACAGCAAAACTCTAAAACAGCAACAGTTTAGAGCTGAAAACCAAATTCTTTTGAAAGAGGCAAGTGATGAATCCTGTTTTTATGTAAGATTTTTAAAAAATGTAATTGAATGAAATTTAATACTGATCTGAGAATGATGATATGCAGATTGAAAGACTGGAAGAGGAGCGAATTGAACTGAAAAAACAGATTCGTAGTTTGGCCCAAGAGAAAGGAAAAATAGCTGCAACATCAGGTAGGTTTTTTTTTTTTTTAATTGTAAATGCTGTTTTTTCAAAGCTATTCTTTCTAAGTTTATTTGTTTAACTATGTTACATTTTCTGACATGATTAAATTACAAGGGAAAACATTTTGCACTGAGTGTGTAGGAAAATGAATGCCTTTGTATTGCTGTAATCTTAAAGTTCAATAGCTGACTTTTGGTAGGTAATAACAGCATCACTAAGAGTTGTGCTATTGGCTAGCAGTTCTTAGGTAGAGGATGCTCTAGCCAGGATTTGGTAGTGCATCTCTATAATGGATATGTGTTAAAAAAGTTTGGAATTTCAGTTTTGTACAACCCAAGGAAATACCACTTTCCCAGATGGTCTACTTTACAACAACTTACTCTACAAGTAGAAATCAAAAACTTGGATCCATGACTTAGAATGTATTTTCCTCCCTTCTTTGGAGATTAGTTAAAAAAAAAAGTCACATTATTTGTTCATTTATTTGTGATTAGGCTTGGATGCTGGAGATACACAGATTAATGACACCTGTGCTGAGGAAAGGTGGACAAATAAAAGGAAGATGGATTTCTTAAACACAGATAATCTTGCTGAAATAAAAGCAAAGGTAGGTTCATAGAGTAAGTACATAATCATTTATTGTATTTCTCTTTAAAAGATATTACGAATATCTATTAATTTGTTAATTTGCTCAACTATTTCTCTGAATATTTTTATTAGCTTTTTTTGAATCCTAAATAATTTTTTTGGGAATGCTAAAGGGTTAGCATTATTTGTAACACATTATTTGTTTTTGTGTGAATACAGGCTAGCAGGTCATATGACATGGAAAGGAAAAACACATTTACAGATAGAGGAGCAACAGTTAGCCTTTTGAAGTCAGAGAAGGATGTATCAGAAAACAGTAAGGCTTTGGGACATCTATCTGTAAGAATTTCTGGAACACTTCAGAATTCTGATGATTTGGAAGAAATTAGGAATACATCTTTATTTCGTTTAGGTTCAGAAAGTGTGACAGAGTTGCAACCAGTAAATGACAACAGTGATTCTGAAGCTCTTAGTATAAGAGAGATTTTTATATCACCAGAACTACAATTCATTCAGGCACCAGGAATAAAAGATTCTACGTTCAATAGAGAGACATCAAAAAATGTAAAATCCGAGTATACAGGTACATTTTCTGCTTCTCAGAGAGCAGGGCAGACCTCAGAGACAAAAAATCAAAAATATGGAAACACAGCATCTTTTCAGAATTGGATATCCATAACTTCTAACTCGGACCAAACAAGTCCAGGAGATGTTTTTGTAGGGATATCTCTTAACCAAAAGTCCGGCCTTTTTTGTGAATCAGTTCTTGCAAAGCCAGAAATACAATATAAATCACAAATAATGATGTGGAAGGATTGTTCTCAAGTAAAGCTTTCTGATTTCCAAATTGACTTTCAAGAAGACAGAGGAGGAGAGAAATGGCTAACAGAATTATTGCATGTAAAGACTATGGAAAATGGACTTGAAACTGCACAGTCAGAACACTTGGGTCAGGTAGATCCTGTTGAGAACCTCATAGAGCAATTGAAGAGAGAATTAGCCTTTCTTAGATCACAGGTGAGGCACCTTTTTAATGTAATGTGTGTTTATCTATTGTGATTATATAGAAGTTGCATTCAAAATAGATTACAAAAATATATTATTTTAGCTTCAGCTTCATTAACCTAAGCTAATCAAACCAGTCTGTGCAATCATGTGGAACTCTCAAACTGCTGTTCCAACTGCAGCATGAAATATGAATACATGTTTCACCAGTGATTACCTTAAGTAATTATTCCAGTAAGTCCATCTCTGCTGCTGTTGCATTTTGGGTAGGAGAGTCCATATTTTAGACTGAGAAATTTTCATGGGTACATGTACATACTCACATGCTCTTTTTTTTTTTTTTTTTTTTTTTTTTTTTTTTTTTTTTTTTTTTGTAATACGGTTGGAGTTAGATGGTAGTAGAATTAGATGACTAAAATAAGATTTTGAGTGAAACTACAGAATCTGTGCATTATCTGTCCAGAAGAAACCAACTAAGGATATGATGAAGAAATAAATTTTATCATCCCCGTTTCTGTAACCATGATGCTTTTTATCTTTAACTGAAATGCCTTAAGACTGATAGATTTTTATTAGGTTACAAAAAATTATTCCTCCAGTTGAGGATGATCAGGGAATTTTGCATGTCTGTTTGCATCATTTTTCTTCCTTATGGTTTGGGAGTAGGCTTTTTTGTAGCTATTCCTTTTAAAACACTGTGCTAACCAAGCTGCAGAATAAATAGTGCTTACCATTTTAGTCTTTTTCAGTAGAAAAAAAGAATTTTTAAGAACTTTTTATAGAACATAGATTTTGGAAATTTTCTGTGAGTGAAAGCATAAATATTTTACTGTTTCTTCAGAATGAGCAGATATCCAAAGATTTGTTGGCCAAGAATATACTGAATAGATACACAGAATTAAAGCTTGAAAGATGCAGAACCCAAGCAGTGCAGGTAGTGCAAGGTTTTAAAGTAAATATATGATAATAGGGTAAATCTATATATAAGTATATTCATAAATTTAGTTTTTTTTCTTATGATTTTACTGTAAAAATGCTTTAAAATGAGATTGCTTGATTGACTGTTAACTTCTATATTTTTTCATACTACTTCATACCTAGTTCTCTCATTGTTTCATGTACTACATAATTTTACTATGTATTTAGACTAGTATGGACTAATAATATTTTCTAGTAATTACTCTTCCCTTTCAAGAGGGAAATTCTTAAACTTAATGAGAATTCTAATACTAATATTGCTAAATTACAGTTTTTAAATTTGATATTTTCGTCTTTTCTTTTTCTTTAGAATGAGTATCTTACAAGTGAGTTAAGTGAGAGAGAGAGAGATTTGGAAAAAAACAGAACCATGATTGTCAAATTTCAATCTAAATGTAAGTTGCAGTTTTTTTTAAAAAAACAGAGAATTTTTATTTTTTATTTTTTTAATTATAGTAGTTTTTTTTTTAACTACAGTAAAAGAATTATCAGAAGAGAATAAACAGCTTGAACAAGGAATGAAGGAAATATTACAAGCTCTCAAGGAAATACAGAAGGATCCCAGTATGAAGGGAGGAGAAACAGCCTTAATTATCCCAAGTTTGGATCGTTTGGTTAATGTAAGCATGCTTTTCTAGTGTTATTTGTTTATAGAGGATTTTTTGATTTTTCTTTTCTTTTTTTAATATTGAAATGCTATGAGTTACTTTTCTATTTAGTAGTAGCTCAATATACCTGTTTGTTTCTATTAATGGGAATGTATCCTTTGACACCATGAAAAAAAGCAAAGAAAAATATACTACAGCAATGGATCACCAACAAAGAAGTTAGTTTGTATGTTTTCTAACTAGATAATATAAAATCATGCTAAGCAAGTTAATATTCCAGACATAAAGTTTAGGAAAAAGTTCATCTACATTTGTTATATCTGTATTGGATCTACAATAATTGTTTAAGAAATCAACTTCATAAATCTTACTGAAAAAAATATTATTTGAATTATCTAAATTATTGCATGCAGTGTATATATTGTCAGTAAACTTGAAAGTAGCCTAAAATTAAAATTTCATGCATTTGATATGAAACTTTATGTAGTTTGAGCTGGAGATCTCCATTCCATTATGAAAAAACACATCTTTTTTGCTTTTTTTCTCTTTTTTTGGTTAATTAAATGTTTACTGTATTAGGTAATTGAGTCAAAGAATGCAGAAGGAGTCTTTGATGTTAGCGTGCACTTGAAAGCTCAGGTTGACCAGCTTACAGGACGAAATGAAGAATTAAGGCAGGAACTGAAACAGACACGGAAGGAGGCAACAGATTTCTCCAATCAGTTAGCAAATGCAAATGAAAAGGTATAGAATTTATTTCATATTTGAAAAGTGCTGATGGTGATGGTTTTGAACAAAAGCATAATGTGTGAGATACTGGATTTATCTTACACGAGAGATCTACTTGTACAAATCGTAATTTTTATGTTGGATTTATGGAATTGTTAATTTTAACTTCTAAAATCTTACTCTTCCTCGTGTTGTTTTATTCTTAGAAAAATATGCTCGCTTTGCTATCGTGTTGAATACTAAGCGTGACTTTCTTTAGGAGAGCCATGTGCTAAAAAAGGCTTATAGATTTCCATATTAAAAAAAAAAAAAAAACAGTAGTCTTGCTTTCTTATTTTTAAGTGGATAAATCAATAGGCATTAATTGTTCCTAAATGGTTCATGGTTGGTTCTCTAGAATCCTACCTCTATTTAAACTTGTTCTGTAAAGCAACCTTGGCAATGCAGAAACATTTGCCAGTAACTAATACAGTAAATCACAGAATCACAGAATATTCAAGGTTGGAAGGGACCTCTACAGATCATCTAGTCCAACCTTCCTGCTCAAGCAGGCACACCTACAGCATGTGGCACAGGGTGGCATCCAGGCGGGTTTGGAAGACCTCCAGAGAAGGAGACTCCACAAGCTCCCTGGGCAGCCTGTTCCAGTGCTCTGTTACCCTCACAGGAAAGAAGTTCCTCCTCACCTGGAACCTGCTGTGTTTCAGCTTATGCCCATTTCCCCTTGTCCTATCGCTGGCCACCAATGAGAAGAGCTTGGCCCCTTCCTCCCTCCATTCTCCCTTCCTGGACTTATACATGTTAATCAGATCCCCTCTCATCCTTCTCTTCTCCAGAGAAAACAGGCCCAATTCACTCAGTCTCTCTATAATAAAATATTATTTGATGTACTTTTAGATTATACAGTATTATTTGATATAGAGAAAGGAATAAAGAGCTTTTAAAAGCTTAACATGTAAAGACAATGATTTATTTAGAGTAAACCATGAAATAATTGTTGCAATAGTTCTGTCCAAAGCTTATTCACTTTAATAGAAATAGAAAAGCAATATTCTCCAAGAAATCTGGAATGAAACATGATGAGTCATCAAGTATGTGAAGCTGTCCTGCTTGCTCAGCTTAAGGTATTAAATATTTAGTTCTTTGAGGAATCACAGTATAAAACAGAAAAGGCACTGCCAGGAGTATTTGAGCGATCTAGGAAATAAATGCAAGTGAATTAGTTTGTTGATTACAACAATACAGTGTAAGAAACCCTATATTTTCCATCACTATTTTCTTATTGAATAGCTACTTTCTGTTGTTGTTTTTCTTTAGATTACACAACTTAAAAATGAAATTTGTTTATTACATCAATCAGAAGGTGCCAACGTTGTCTTCAAAACAGTTAATCTTCCAGAAGGAATGGCTTCTTCAAGTGTTAGTATCATTAATTCTCTGAATGAATATTTAATACATCTCCTACAGGTAACTCCTTTGGTAACTTATTTATACTTCTGTTATTTGTGATATATAGCGTATTCTTCTAAATTCTAGTCCTGTGCCATGTATGGACATGAGAGAGCTCTCTCAACCTCTGCTGTTTTAAAACACTGACTTTTAAAGCTATAATTTCTTTGAATACTTACCTATTTTCTATTCTGTATTTCTGATGACTTTTCTTTACTAGAGAATATTTTTCAACCATATATGGAGTATAAGAGTATATTGAAACATGAGAAGAAAACACCATTCTCCAATTAAACATTCAAGTAGTATTCTTTGGAGACTACGTTTTTTGGCTAATATGTCAAATATGGTGTATTCAGCATTTTGGGGCTGTAGTTCACAAAGCAGTTTTGTACTCTTTTTCAGTTACTAAGCTGTTTTGTACTTTTTGTTCTATAGACGCAATGTCTTATGTCAGCAGTTCGCAGACCCTAGTGGTACAAATAATTCATGTAAAAACACACAGAAAAAAAAGTAGTTTTGATGAAAATTTCATATTTGAAATCCTTATTTTAATACTTCAATATTCTTTATTCTGAAAACAAACCTTAGGAATTAGAAAGTAAAGAAGTGTTACTTAAACAATTTGAAGAAACAGTAGAGGACTATAAACGAAAATTTGCAGTAATTCGTCATCAGCAAGGCTTGCTGTATAAAGAATATCACAGGTATTGTATTTTCTGTGTAATGAAGCATTGAATATTTAAATGTTTAATTATTTTGAACACATAATATGTTGAATAAATTTGTTGTTTTTCTTATTGTAATAAATGCTGCAGCAGTACATAGCCTCCTTAAAGTTTCTTTAGTCCTTCAGAAAGATTTACAAAAAAAATATTTTCTGTGAGACTTCTTTCAACGGGTATTATGGTATGTTTTTTGAAGCTGATATCCTATATTTTGTTAGTGTATAGTATTATGGATTCTTCAATTCCTCTTTTGCTTTCAAGTAAGTTCCTAGCGGTTCTTTTGAGTTTGAAAAAAAAAAATACATTGTTGAAACACAGGTCAGAGAGATCTGTTTCAGGATTCCAGATATTCAGGCCTTCTCTTTCTGCTTGTGTATTTGTCAGACTGAATTTCTCTCTGTTTTACGGTACAAGTTCCTTATACCAATTTGGATCTGCTAAAAGCGTAAGAATGAATCTGATGATTTGGGTTTTCAGGTACCAGATTTTTTGTTTCTGTGATTTTTTTTGAGGCTTCTTTTCTTATAAATGTTAAGAGCTATACTATACTGCCTCATATACTGCTGATTATGAAGATTCAAATTTCTTTCTTCAAAACCGTTATAGATTGAAATTTGGAATAGAGATTTACTTTCTAGGAGTTCATAAAGACTTACATTCAAAATGCTGTCTTCAAAGAGATACTTCAGAAAGCAATTTTACTGAAATCCAATTATTTATAGTTTAAAGCATGTTAAATCCCTTACGGTGATATTCTTTGGAGTGAGGTGTCACTGTCTCTTCCTAGCTCTACATACCTGGAAGAGATAAAACATTTAGCTTGTAAAGACTTATTTCCTTATCTTTGTGATTAGCCTTAGCTTTCCAAAGTAGATGTAAACATTTTTTTTTTTTTTTAAGAATTAAACCTGTTGCAACCTAAACAATTAAGATAAACTGAATGGAAAAATGAAAAAAAAAAAAGTCTTAAAAATTACGTGACTGTGATCAATAAAAATTACAATCTACAGTATTTTAGGAGTTATTGTTTTAGTTATGGTTGTGAAAATTATCTAATGTTTAATCTATATTAAAATATTTAATGACTATGATAGTGAAAAGGAAAACTGGCATAAAGCATCTGAAGAAATGAAAGCGGAAAAGAAAAAGTTAGAAGAACAAAAAGAACAGGATGCTACAAAAATAAAGGAGTATTCTGTGAGTGCTTTTTGCTTTCTTGGCTTTATTACAGATACACAATAGGGGCTTTAGTACAGTGGTGTTGAAAGGGGAAAACACTATTCAATCCGAATCAAATCAGAAAGAAAGAGACTTACTGATTTATTAATGACAGATAATTAACCAGAAATCAGTGAATTTTCAGAAGCTGAGAAATGATAGTAGCCATACCAAAGATAAACCACAGTACTAGATACTTAGAAAATATTAATATACCCATACAAATTTCTGAATACCTCTGTAACTAGTTCCAAGTCATTCTCACGCTGTGCACCTACATTCACACAATTATATTCATACCTCCCCACCCCTTCACATTATAAACAAAAACACCCATACTCAAATGTGTGGTTTGCCCTACTTACACACCTAACTCATTACAGATGGGGGTGCTCTCTGTCTACCTGTGCCCTTCCTTGCAGTGTGCTAATCCATGTGCTTGTAAAAAAAGCACCCCACAGGTTTCTCTTTACACACCCGAGGTGTTCATCTGTAATTGCTGCACCCTGCACTGTCAATGCACTAGTGAACCTGTTGCCACAGTCTTTGTAGTTGACTTTTACTCTGTTTCTGTACAAGCTTTTTTTTTAAAAAAATATATATATTTTACAGAATTTGCTCAATGCTCTTCAGATGGATCCCAATGAAACAAAAAAATTACTTGCAGAAAATTATAGAAAAATAACTGTCTTACGAGTTAATGAAAGGTCATTAACAAGGCAATGTACCACTTTACTTGAAATGGAACAACATCTTAGAAAAGAAAATGAGAAACTAAAAGGTGAAATAACAGATATAGAGAGCACAATTGCAGGGAAAATTGGACACTTGCAACGGTTCAAGGTATGTTTAGTAGTAGTAAGACATTTTTGCTTTTATGTTCTGGTTAGCCTTGATGAAATGCCAGTTAAATGCTGTTAACAGTATTTTTTCAAAGCATTCCTTAAAAAAAAAAAAAATATTGTAACAGGAAGCTTGTTGGTTGTCCACCTCTGAGGCTCTTTGAACATCGTGTTGTTTACTGATTTTTTTTTTAAACTATGTCTTGTATGAAAGCAATCTCACTTTTTGACCTTTCAGATATGTAAGACTTGTATTAACAAATGTTTATAATATGTGTTTTTGACAAATACATTATGATCTAGAGGGAGTTCTTGATAAAATTACTAGGAGAGTTGGAGTACTAGAGAAGTGTTGTGGTTGCTTATTGCAAGCAGTTATTATTAAAGTATTAATAGGCAATAAAGTATTATTCAAGTTATTAAAGTTAAATATTGTTAGTAAAATAATTCAATATGTAAAACAATATATTAACTGATGATCTTTCTTTTTTTTCATAGAGTATTTTTAATATTTCACTTTAAAGATTTAGTGGACTTCAGTAACCCAGTGTATTGATTATTTTTGTAGGAAATGGCTAGCTTTAAGATTGCAGCTCTGCAAAAAGTATTAGATGGTTGTGTGCCGCTCTCTGAGCTCGAAGTGGCTAATAAGCAGTATAACGCGCTAACGGCAAAGTACAGAGATATGTTACAAAAGGATAACTTGCTCGTCCAGCGGACATCAAATATGGAACACATGCAGGTAATATATATTATGCTTGAGCCTTGAGGAGAAAAAATGTCATATTGCGTTCATCCTACATTGTTCCTCATCCTCACTTCAGTACAGAGGTCCCATTGCTAGAACTGCTAGTATTAATATGGTTCTGCAGTGGGAAAGAGCCATCAGAAGCAAGTGAAGAAGAAAAGAGAGCTGTTCTGACAACTTGGAACTTGAATTTAGACAGGATTTTTGCTCTCTCATTTTTAAAAAGGTGCTATTTTTGATGTGGGCCTGTTGATGTAGAAAAGAAAATAGGAAGCTAAAATAAGATAAAAGATCTTAATATTGCTAATGATATTTCAGTTTTCTTACCTTCATTGTCTTCAGTAGGCATGCAAAAAGGTTTGTTTATTTGTCTTTCATTTGGCTTATGTGCTTTCTTTACAAAATATGCAGGATGGTGGAAGAAATACTTACTATGTTATAGGGACTGAAAAAAGAGGCACTATTCCTGTGAGCTTTCATTCTGGAGTAGAAGGGAGTTTCTTTTCAAGATACGTGAAGCTGGCTTCCAGTATCTGTTATTAACTTATTAACTTAATTCATTATCAGAAATAAGGATCCTAGAAAAAAGCAGTTAAGACAAATGTCATGTTATCCATTAGACTGTCTGTGGATAGCAAAAATGTCTAGTGACGCATAAATGTGCTGAACCATTGTGTTCACCTGTCTTGAAAGTGTCAGATTCACTGATGCTTAAGGAATAAGTGATTCCTTGTTCAGTTTGTTTTATAGGGATTTATGTCTGTGAAAATTTGCTTTGACTTCTTCAGCAGTTTCATGGAGCTAAAGAATTGTTTCACAATAGCATGAGATGTGCACTTAGAGAATTAGAAAAATTAATACGACGTTTATGGATTATGCATAAATAAAATCTGTTAACGTTAAAAGATTTTGTAGATAGTAAATGTCAAATCCTCTATAGTTTGCTGTTACATTGTAACTTCGTTGTCATTCAGAGGGAGAATGAATCCTTGAAGGCACAGATAGATTCATTGAATAACGAGCTGGAGATTACAAAAGAAAAACTTCACACTGCAGAGCAGGCTTGGGAACAAATGACTAAACTGGGCAAGTATGAAAGTTATTTTGCAACATTAAAGATGAAACGATATGTCCTTTATGCAAGTATTTTTTGCCACATTTTAAAATTGATGTATGTGTAGGGGGGAAAGCAAAAAAGAAAAACAAAACATTTCCCCTTCCCCCCCCCCCCCCTTTTTTTTATTGCTTCCTCTTGTCTCTCCTATCAAAACAAAGTTCAGTACTTTCCTCACTAGAGTTTTCAGAGTTTGCTGGGTAAAGGCTTTAAAAGCTGGAACTTTGCAAGGCTGCATCTTCTGCTTTTTTGATAATTTGAATAATTTTAAAATTTTGAATAACTTTAAATAGAATTTTATCACATGATTAAATATAAAGTTAAAGACAGTTACCTGTCTCAATATCTGTGCTTGCAACAATATCCATCACTCATAAATTATCACAGAATCACAGAATATTTAAGGTTGGAAGGGACCTCCAGAGATCATCTAGACCAACCTTCCTGCTGAAGCAGGCACACCTAGAGCATGTGGCACAGGGTGGCATCCAGTTGGGTTTTGAAGACCTCCAGAGAAGGAGACTCCACAACCTCCCTGGGCAGCCTGTTCCAGGGCTCTGTCACTCTAACAGTAAAGAAGTTGCTCCTCACCTGGAGACGGAACTTCTTGTGCTTCAGCTTGTGGCCATTACCCCTCGTCCTATCGCTGCCTACCAGTGAAAACAGCTTGTCCCCTTCCTCCCTGCATTCTCCCTTCCTGAACTTATACATATTAATCATATCCCCTCTGAGCCGTCTCTTCTCCAGAGAAAACAGGCCCAGCTCACTCAGCCTCTCTTCGTACGAGAGATGTTCCATTCCCTTAATCATCCTGGTTGCCCTTCTCTGGACCCTCTCGAGAAGCTCCATGTCCCTCTTATACTGGGGAGCTCAGAACTGCACACAATACTCCAGTACTGCACACAATACTCCAACACTTATGATTTTTTTCAAAATAGATTTTTTTTTCAAGCTTCTAATAAGACAAAACTATTTCAATATTCACACAGTTTGAAATAATCTAGATGTTTTAATAAAGTTTATCTAACAGAGACCAATTCATATTCCATTTCATGGTATAAATTTTCATAATTGGATCAGCTTGTGCATTCCTTAACTTAAATGTTTTTGAATACAGGGGATGACAGTGCAGCAGACAAGGCCACAAAAGCAATAACCAACAGTGAGATTTTGTCCATTTCTAAGAAAATCACAATGTTGGAAATGAAGGAATTAAATGAAAGACAAAGAGCAGAACATTCCCAGCGAATGTATGAGCATTTAAGGAATACTTTAAAGCAAGTAGAAGAACGTAATTTTGAATTGGAAACAAAATTTGCTGAGGTAAATCTATTGAAAGATATATATGGTAAGACTGAAATATATATTGCAGCGGATATATGCAATAGTTTGGTAAGACTGCAATTTGACATGTATAAAAGCATATATATACAAGCATGTTTTTGACCTTTTTGAAAAGTTTTGACTGACTATGACTTGTTGATAAATAGATTTATGATGTAAAATTTGATGTCTGCAGTTGTACATGGAGAGGACACTTAGCAAAACTAATCAATTTTATTTCAAAAAAATGCGTATTCTCTGTAAACACTTCGAGAAATATCTAGCTAGTTATTCAACAGACTCCAGATAGGAGTCTATTCATAACTTAGCTATACCTTACATCTAATTAATGTCATCTCCTTTCTGCTGATTTTTCTGTAAGCGCTAATGATTACAAAAGCATTAGAGCTTTGCATCCCTTTTGTGAGCAATACTGTCCTAATTCTGTTAGGTTAGACACTATCATTCTGTCACATGTCAAACATAAATTATAATACAGGAATAGAAGAGAAATCATGTGCAATCGAATCTGATCTGGTATTGGAGATAACCCTTATAATTCCTCCTGTAAATATATTAGTCTTGGTCTTGTTAGATTTTTTCCCACCCATTTTTCCCACTGTTTGAGGTTTGTTTCTACTATTTATATAATGAATTTCTAGAACTTTATTGTAGTTTCCCATTTAAATTTATTTTTAAAAAATTGTTCAGGTTTGTTCTTGTGCTTCTACTGGGTTATCGCTTAACTATAGTTTTTCTTCGCTTGTATTGGCATTGATAGGAATGATAATGGACAGTAGTCTTTTCACCTTTCTTCTGTTTGCTAGACTACTGTTTGTTGTCTTAGATGGCTAAATTTAGCTGTTTTAGCAGTTTTCCATTATCATTTTTGTGGTGTTTTTACAAGTTCATTTTTAGATATGGAGTCACTGAGAGTGCAAAATGCTTTTCAGAGATGGAATTGTTAAAGCCTTGCATGAGGCACAACTGCTTTTCTTCCATATAATAAATACTGCAAGAAATACACTATATGTGATGTTTCCCTTTTTCAGTTTTATTTACATTGTTATCAGTCCTTTCTTCATTTTGAGTTGATGAACTTCTAGCTAATGTCAGAATTTTTTCTTATTAGTGCAGTTTGCAGCTCATAACTTCAGGATGTCCATTTTATTTTTCATATATGCCTGTTGAGACTGCCTCCTAGTCTAGCATTATTTCTTCTACATACTAAAATTGGGCTAAGACAATTAATGAAAATTTTAGGCCAGTTCAGCTTAAGAGTTAATAACTAGTAGCAGACTGCTAGGCATCTCCTTCAAAACTCATAACTACTTCAGCATGACTCCTTCATTCCCTACCCATTTTACAGTTTCAATATTAGCTCTATTTCAGAAATTGGTTATTAATAAGTGGAATTCAGTTAATCTGCCACATCTGTGTGTCTTTGGTAAACTCATTCCTGAGACTTTATCTTACCATGTATGCAATACTGTTAATAAAGAGAGAGCTGTTTAACCAGAGAAGAGAAAACTTTTTTTTTATGAAAACTTTGTTGTATGATATTTATAATGACTGAAAGAGAAGATAGTTTTGGTAATTTTATTCTTTGCAGGGGTCGATGGTGCATGTGTGCTTAAGGATACCTTTTTTGTTTTATTTATTTATATTTTAAGCTTACTAAAATCAACCTTGAAGCACAAAAAGTGGAACAAGAATTAAGAGATGAACTGTCAAACAGTGTAAATAAGGCAGTAAGTGATGCAGATAGGCGACAAATCATGGATTTAGAGAAGAGTGAGATGGAACTAAAGATTGAAGTATCAAAGTAAGTATTGAGGTAACAAATTGAAAATGCAGCAAGTTTGGAAGCACTTTAATTTTAGGCTGTAGAGGCATATGTTGTATGTGTAGTGCTCGCTAGTAATTTTCAGTGCCTAATTTTTTCTACCAAGTTTGAAGCATTTCATTTAGGTACTTTTAATAAAAATTATTCACTTAACTTTTACGTCAACAAGGAATTAAGTGCCCTTCTAGATAGGCATGGTAGGTGTGTGCTTAGATACTTTTTTTTTTTAATAAATAAAAATAAGGTTTGTTTTGTTTCTATGGTAGAATCATATGAAATTGGCAGATTTATGCCAATTTCATATAAGGAGTAACAAAACTTTTTTTTTTTTTTTCCTGAAGAGTATATTGAAAAATAGATTTAGGCTGCAGTGACCTTTTTTTTTTTTTTTTCCTCTTAAAGACTTTGACTTCTTATGATGGATATTTGTATCTGAGTAAGCAGCACAATCCTATTATGTTCCTAAAACATCAAAGCCATATTTGCAGTGACTTTGATGCTGAAAATGGGGGTTTGGACTTTCCAAATTGTAGAAGGAATAGGGAACATAATTTGTTGAGTATTTTAGTATTTTTGTTTGGAATTGGGAGAGAAATAGAGAAATAGGGAGATGCTTAGATTAGCTAAAGACCGTGGTGATGTATATCTGCAGTGGGGATCCGATAGAAAACTATTCATATAATTTATAGGAGTATGTTCCGGAAAAAAAAAAAAAATTAAGAGGCTCTGCTCAATATGTAAGGAATGGTAGAGAAAAGTGAGAGAAGAGAAAGTGAATGCTGAAGAGAAGGGAGTCATTGATGCTTAAAAGTTTACTTCAGGCATTCATTTTTAACTTTTCTGCATAGAACAGCTGAGTAGGCTATTCAGTGATTTCAAATGATGCAATATTATTTTTCCTGAAAGGTTAAGAGAACTATCTGATGTTGCAAAAATGCAAGTCGGAGCTCTGGAGGCACGACAACAATGCCGAGAGAAAGAAGTGGAATCTCTTAGAATGCAAGTTTTGGATTATCAGGTACAGTTAAATCAACCTCTGTAACCACTACCTTTTTTTTTTTGTTTGTTTGTTTTTTCCCAGTTTCTATTCGTACAGCTATGGAAAAAAGGTGAGGGGATCTGTTTTTATGCTTTTTAGGTAATAGTTATTTAGTTGTTTTAGGCAGTAACTAATAGCTCACAGTCAATTTTTATATTTAAAAACAGGAAAGTCTGATCATCTTTATTTTCCACTCTGAGACATGACTTATCAGTCTTGAAGAATTGCAACAGATTTAGCATGTTTCTTTGTTATTTTCTAGAAAAAAAAAAAAGGAAAAAAACAATATTTGAGAAAATGATGTACTTTTAAAATTTGCCTGTTGAAGTAAAATTCTGTTTTTAGAAGCTGCTCCTTGCTCTTGTCTGGGATCAAATATATATGCAGTATATGCATATGTCTGGGATAAAATATATGCAGTATAGAAGCACTTCATTATTCTATTAAAAAAGAAAGGATATTTTACTCTATCTTTTTATTCTTAGGCACAGTCGGATGAAAAAGCAATTATTGCCAAACTACATCAACATATCATTGCGCTTGAAGTTAGTGAATCCAATGCTTTAGACAAGTTGGAAACACTTGCACTGAAACTACAGAAAATGGAGGTCCGTAATCTGCGTTTAGAGCAGAAGCTTGATGACAGAGAGCAAGCCTTGTATTTTGCCCGACTGGAAGGAAGAAATAGAGCCAAACATCTACGTCAGACAATTCAGTCATTGCGGCGACAGTTTAGCGGTGCTCTGCCTTTAGCACAACAAGAAAAATTCTCAAGAACCATGATTCAGCTGCAGAATGACAAACTGAAAATCCTGGAAGAAGTTCAGCATGCCCAGCAAGAGCGTCGAAATGCAGAAAACAGAGCACTGGAAATGGAGTTAAAGCTAAAAGGTCTAGAAGAATTAATAAGTGCATTGAAGGATACAAGAGGAGCTCAAAAGGTTAGCTGTTCTATGGTTTTGGATAGTCATTACATTTGATATTCATTTAAATTCCATTTCAGTCCAGTTTGTGCCCTAACCTTCTGTTTTTATACACATCTTCGTGATTCAGGACATACTGACTTAGATATGACGACTATTTTTTTTCCCTCTTTAAAACAAACAAGAAAAAAAACAGGCAATCATTAGTTATTTGCCATTTATACTTTACTAATTTTCCTTTGGTACCTCTTAGGTTTCTTAGGAAGTAATTAAATACATAGTAACATTCTGAAGTACTCTTTTGCCAACTTGAATTTCAATCCTTCACAATCCTATGTGACTTTCTAAATAAATACAGATGCATTTAATTTGGACAGAAATGTTGTTATTCCCTTGTAAAGTCTCTTGTAAAGTCATTGTAAAGAAAAACTATATTTTGCTGTTATAAATATCTTTCAACTGGGTAAGATTTACTGTGGCCTATGGCTTTATCTCTTATGATTAAAGATAGCAGCATGCAAGAAATGGTTAGAGTGTTTTTGGTATATTTTGTTTTTTAGCCAATTTTCAAAGATTTTCAAGAGCATTTTGACAATAAAATGGTCCAACTACATTTAGTATGTATGCCATACTAAATCTTTTTTTTCTTTTAGACAGTGTTATTATGGTTTTGAAGATCTGCTAAATCTTTGGAAATCTTTGGAAAACCTCTTTTGGATTTTTTTTTTTCCCTCAAGCTGTAAAGGTGCACTGGATATAACACACATAATTTGAAAATTATCTGGAATTTTCAGATTCTGGAACATGAGAGAGGGTTCTCTTTGTCGGCGTAGGGGTGGCATTTTAGCTCTTCAGTTATTTGCTGCTAGTTTCATTTGTTCCTCTTGCAATTAAAGAATCTTGCCATGCTTCCTCATTCAAAGGAAATGGAAAGCTTATGGAGGGAAAAGGCTTCTGCCTCTTTTACTTGCATAAATGCCCTCGTGCCTCAAAGTTGAAGAGTGTAGCTGCATCTAGACAGTTTGTGAACTTGATAAAATGTAACACTGTCTTTAATTTATTATTAGGTAATTGAATGGCATATGAAGATGGAGGAACTCCGTTTGCAGGAACTTAAACTGAATCGAGAGTTAGTCAAGCAAAAGGAAGAGATGAAATATTTGAATAATATCATTTCTGAGTATGAATGTACAATCAGTAATCTGGAAGAAGAAATTGTACAGCAGAATAAGGTATATATTTTTGTATGCCATTAGAAGAACACCATATTTTTCCTAGTGAGCTTGTTAACGTAGATCTTTTAATTGGGTTCCATAACTGTTTTTTTCAGTAGCACATTTGAGTCATTTTCAAACATTTCATATTTCCTTACGTATCTTTCCTGTTTAAGTCAGTTACAAAATTTTAATTGTCTTCAATGAACAAGACATCTTTATCAAACTTCTATTACAGTTTCATGAAGAAAGGCAAATATCTTGGGACCAGAGGGAAGTAGAACTGCAGCGCCAGTTAGACATATATGATCATCAACAAAATGAAATACTTACTACTGTTCTAAAGGTACATGCACTGAATTAACTTTTTTTAAATTAATTTTTTTTAAGTTGTTAGATAACATGAATATGAATCTTTCTGTTCAGTTTGAAGAAGCCATGGAATCAGTTCCAGACTCTAGTTTGCCCCTTCCACAGCAGCTTGAACTGGCTCTGAGAAAAAATCAGGAGCACATTCGAACAATCTTGGAAATTAGGTCAAGATGCAAATCTCTAGAGGAGGTAATGAATAAAGAAATTATCCTTTTTCTTATAAATGTCGAAGCGTTTATTTTTATACCCATATATATACATACACAAACACACCATATATATAGTGCATATATATATATATATGTATATATATATATATATACACACATCCTTCGGTAAATGTCACTTAAATATGTTGATTCCCTAAAATTAACATTTTACCATTAGAAAAAAGTACAGAAGAGGATTTTTAATCTGTTTAGATAGTTCTAAAATTCACATTTTAGGCTGTACTAAATGGAAAATCTGTTACAGAAGGTAGTAAGTGGTTCACAAGAAATCTGAAAAGACTCATTTCGTAATTACAGTGGTACAAAACATCTTGCTATGTGCCAGGCAATAGTACATAAGGATAATCATACCACGTAACTTTTGATCTTGCAATAATACCATACAAAAGTAGGCACAAAAAAATTGTGATTATAAGTCAATTTAGACAATTTTTTCTGATACTTCTTTTGTTTAGAAATTAGAAGAAAAAGAAACTGCTCTGTGGAAAGCTGAACAAAATGTTCTATCAAGAGACAAGGTTATAAATGAACTAAGACTCCAATTACCTGCAACATCAGAAAGAGACAATATAATAGCTGAGTTGGGCAGCAAAGAAGATGATCTAGAGTACCATCATGCCATAAAAATTGCTCATCAAACCATTGCAAATATGCAAGCAAGATTAAATCAGAAGGAAGAAGTGTTAAAGAAATATCAACATTTGCTTGCTAAAGCAAGAGAGGTAGCTAAACTTTTTTTGCCTGTATTTTCTTTCCAGTTTACGTTGTTTTAGTTGATTCTTTGTTCATCTCATTGTTAGTGAAATTTCAGTTTTATGACTCAGAAGAAACAGAGCAGACCTAATTTTTCATTTTTCAGGTAAGAAGTTCATGAACTTTTAACTTACATTGGGAAAATTGCCTAGTCAAGAGGTGTATGTATCCTCTCTCTTTCTAGGAATTAAATTAGTATGACAGAAGGAAAAAGAAAGGTAGAAAGGTAGACTTATATGGGTTTTTCATGCACTTACAGCAGTGAGTTGTGGACTTCATCTTGCAGTATATTTGGGAGGAGTAAGAATGACATGCATTTATGGAAATACATATAATGTGTTTGAATCGGTGTGTTTCTGTAGCTGATTTCTGATCATCTTTACTTACTGTGTTTTTTTTAACATGTATAGCTATTTCATCTGAGAGAAATAAAATACTATTGCTTTGATACTAAACCAGAAAATGCAGTCTAAAGGTGAACTTACTGTGCCTCATTTTCTAGTATAAATTCAGTTTATGGGAACAGACTAAAACTAGTCCACAGTAGATAACCTTGAAAAGCATGTAATACAGGTTTCAATCTTCTAGACTAAGTGTTCTGATTTACATCCCCTGGTCTGATGCACCATACTACTTGTTAGTGCAAACATAGCCTAAAAGTGCACTAGTGGATACTTTCCTAATAGGTGTTAAAAAGCAATTTCATTGATTTATGGAATTATGTATCAGTATAAGTACAGTAGAGTTACATCTTTACTTTGAACTTGCAGGAACAAGAGGAAGCAGTCAAGAAGCATGAAGAAGACCTGAGAGTCCTACACCAGAAGTTAGATTTGCATACAGATAATTCCCTTAATAAATTCAAGCTAACTGCTTTGGTGAGTTATGTGTATTTGTGGAATGAGTGAAATTTTGAAAATTCAAAGTCATAAATCATGACAAGAAAAATAAACTGATTGTAGTGTACAGAATTACTGCTTTCTTGAATTGAAAAAGTTAGAGAGATGGGTTTGAGAACAAATGTAAAAAATGAAGTTATTACCATAGTATATAAGATCATATTTCATATTACTCTAATTTATGGAGAATTCTGAAAGAGAGGTGGGGTTTTTTTTTGGTTTTGGGGTTTTTTTTCCTTTTTTTTTTTTCTTTTCACTCAAAATTTATGGCTAAAGAAAACAACACAACGTGGTTGGATTTCTGTCTTGACACCTGATAAGTTAACATCTATAAAAAGTTTCTTTGAAGGCAATGTGATTGATGTTTCTGCTTAAGTGATGACTCATTCCACAATAGGTAGGAATTATAAATATTAATATTTGGTTATGTTCAAGATTTATTTTAAAATGCATCACTAATTTCCATATGATTTAAACCTTAAAATATTTGTCACATGTTTGTTTTATTTTACAGGAGTTAATGAAAAAGCCTTCTTTGACACTTCCTAGTGACAAACATTTCCTCCGTTTGGCTGAAATGGAGAAAACTGTAGCAGCACAGGACAACTCTCTTGCTTCGCTTGTTATCAAGTTAAAGAAAACATCATCTGACTTGGAGAAACAGAAACAAATTACTTCAATGAAAGTGAAAGAGTTTGAGAGTATCAGGGCCCAGTAAGTTTTCAGACTGTTAATGCAATCGAGTCACATTTGGTTTGCATCAAAACAGCAACTTAGTGCTATTACAGAAGAGGTTTGTGAATGGCACATGTTTTTGCTGAATTTAAGCTGAAATAAGTAACTCAAAAATAAGCTCAAAAAACCCTCAAATTTAAGCAGAAAAGAATAACTCCAAATCGTTACCTTGTGTGGTCACTTGTAAACTGTTTTACTTTGATTATCTTTCATCAAGGCTTAGGCTGAAAAATCTGTGGCTTCTAAAATGCCTTTGAATTGTTTAATTTATGCCCTACAGTGAAACAAAAAGTATTCTATGAGACTTGGTACGAGAAATGCCATTAAGCTAAGTTTTAAAAGGGATTTACTTTCTTGTACAATGCTGCTTTACCTGCTAACGCTAAGAATTAGAATAACCTTGCTACTAATTCAAAAGTAAGAATATGAATGCTTTAATCTCATTTGTTATCTTGAATATCTTTCTTATTAAATAGAGGGAGGAAGTCTTTGCTTTATTTAACAATAATAAAAACATAAGATTGTGTCTTTGGTTATTTATTTGAAGTTTGTTAATTATTGAAATACATCCTATTTATACTTATTTTGTATTAGACTTCAGGAAGAGCATGCAGTTGATGTGGAGCACCTGAAGGATGAAGCAAATAAATTGAGGAACATGTTGTCTCAAGTGGAAAAGGAATTAGTGAATGTAAAAGCTGAACTACAGTCCCAAAAAGAAGCAAATAATAGAGCACCCACCACAACAATGAAGAACCTGGTGGAACGGCTAAAGAGCCAATTAGCCTTAAAAGAGAAGCAGCAAAAAGTTAGTCAACAAAAATTATATACCTATGACACAAACTAAATAATTGTTTAATATGGCTTCATACTTTACTTTAATTTTAGGCTTTGAGTAAAGCACTTCTGGAACTCCGAGCAGAAATGACTGCTAATGCTGAGCATCACATTATTTCTGCAGCATCGCAGAAAGAGGCATACATGAATGTCCAGGAGATTATTGATAGACAAACAAAGGGGCTCACAGTGAGTACTAGGTATTACCTTTGTATTGTGCTTTTGTGTTGCTGATACCCTGATTTTTTTTTTTTTCTTCTAGACACAGATAGAGGAATTGAATGATCAGGTTACAAAATTTAGAGATAACCTTAAAATAAGTAAAAACAAGGAGAGCTCTTTGTTAAATGAAGTGGATGAATTGAACCAAGAACTTCAGAGGAAACAAAAAGCATTTACAAAAGTGATGAGAGAAAAAAATGAAATGGAAAAAGAAAATGAAGAACTACAAAAAAGGATTAGGAGACTGACCAGTAGTATTCAGGTAGATGTGTGGGGGCTTTTTTTATTTTTGTTTTTTTAATAATCTTGCTCAACTTTCTGCCTATATATGCTTTTTTTTTGAGAGAGAGAGAGAGACAGAGAAAGATTAAGCACTTTCAGGAGTATAAAGACTTATATTTGATTGGAAAACCTATATTGCTCATCAGCCTGATTTTTGCAGGATAATATGTGAGTCTTTAGCTTTTGCTGTTAGAAGCACATCTCAAATATGCAAGAAGCTGAAAACAGTGACCCTGAAATAAAAGAAATGGAAGTATTAAAAGAGTCTGAGGTACTGAATTAGTAGTTTTAAAGCTTTGTAAAATGGCTAGCTAAAAATTTTTGATTTTCCTGGATGTCCTTATTTCCCCTTTCAGAAGAAATAGAAAGGATTTACAGAAGAATTATTTAAACTTTCATTTCTGAACTCACCTACCTACTAATTATTTACTTTAGAATGTAAAGTTACATTTGTAGAAGTAATTTGTAGAATTCACTTTTAGAAGGCTATTTAGGTTATAAACTTTCCTTGATTTACTGAAGTCTTCATTTTTTGAGGACGGAAATTACTTAAGTAGTGGTCATTAACATTTTAAGATTGTGAAAGTTAATTATACTTCTTCAGAACAAAACTGATGAACAAAATCTGATAGATGAACTTCAGAAAAAAGTTAAAAAATTGGAAAATGAACTTGAGAAGAAATGTGAAGAAACTGAAAAGAAAAGTGTAAGAGAAGATAAGGTATGTAGTAGATCTTTTCAAGATACTAGCTTGAGTCTATGTAGTTCGACTTTCCTTGCTTCAAACAAACAAAAAAACTCCTAAGTCCCCAACCTTCCCCTCCACAAAATCTTTTTAAAATAAAATAATTTTTTGACTGTTGTTGTTCGTATATTTTGTGCTGTAACCCTTGCTTAGTACATAATACTCACATATTAATATTTTCCTTCCTGTATTGAGGAAGAGAATCCATTGGAGAATCCATTAGAAATTTTAAAGAAAATTCACTAGAAATCCATTGGGAATTTTAAAGTTCTATTAGAAATTTTAGTAAACAGATAAAATGTTAGAGATAATAGAGAAAATTGACATAAATGCTGTCAAATATGTATCTGAGAATGCAGTGATAACAATGAAGTACTTTGCAGTAAAAGTGTGAAGCCTATATATCGTCACAGTAGTGATCTCCATTTATAAGAAGTTCTGAGTGATTAGAGATGCTTGTTTTACCTATTTTGTTTGTTGTTTTGCTATACACACAAGTATATACATATACAGTATACAAGAACATTGGCTGTGATATTTCAGCAGCTGTTTATTGTACAGTTTTTAATTAGATAATGTATTTTATCATTACTGAAATGTAACTAGAGTTTCCATTTGTTATAGGAAAAAAATAAACCTAAAATGGTCAATTGTTAAGCAGGAGCATATAAACTCCTCGTAAAACACATCTGAAAATACTGATTTGCAATAAATTGGCATAGAAAACACTTCTTTACTGTTTAATCTGCCTTCTTTACCTACCTGTAATTCATAGTAAAACATTACATTGAATATCTCTGATTTCATAAAATGTATGTTTTTATAAAATCAATATGAAAAGTTAATGAATTTCCTGCTAGTATTAAGCTATGTTAACTTCATATGCCAATTGGTGCAGCGTATGCACCAATTAGGTGCATATCCTACCAATTAGGATATCCAGCTTGGTCAGCTAAGTAATTTATTGGCCTATTTACATTATCTAGTTTGGTTTAATATTTAAAATTCAGAAATGAGAACTTATAATTCGTACTTTTCTAATGTGTTTATTTCCTTTGCTCTACACAAAATAAATAAATAAACAAAACCCTTTATTTTGTTCATATGCTTCACAGACCTCCAAGGAAGAAATAATTAGATGGGAAGAAGGTAAAAAATGGCAAATCAGATTGGAAGGGATGAGGAACAAGCTAAAAGAGAAGGAAAAAGAAATGGATGCTTTAACAAAACAGTTCAATACACTGAAGGAACTTCATACCAAGTGAGTTGATAGTTAATGGTTCTTGTTACAAAATTGTGTCAGCATAAAGGAAATCCAAATAATAATAATCCAATAATGACTATATAATAATTATAACAGTTTATTACATTTTTAAAATTTATCTGTAGAATTTGACATTTGTAAAGTATAAGGATTGATTTCAGTTTTAAGCACTGACTGCTCTTTTCACTTGTAGAAGCTGGCAGCCTTATAGAAGAAACTGGTTTTGAATAAAACTAATTTCAGTTTTTCACTGTGTTTATTGTATATAGCATTCTGTGATCCTATTGCAGAAGTAATAGGTAGATGATGACAGGCTTTCTTTTTTACAGCATTGTGAGATACTGTGTCATTCAATTAATTTACTAGGACTGGATGCAGCACTGCTGTTTATTTTACTATTGCAGCACTAAAAAAATTTCTCAGGAAAAAAAAACTGTAATATAACAATAAAAAAAACAAACAGCTGAAGGGTTTGCATTTCAGTACTGTATTTCAGTACAATAATGGCAGATTTTCACTCATGCAAGGTCCAAAAACAGTAGAGTATAGTAGACGTGATTGATGCTCTTGCATTGCAGTTCAAAGCTGTTTCAAACAGCTTTTAGTATTAGCAAAATTGTCAAGAATTTCACATAATACATTAGCAAACTAACAAGATTTATGGCTTTTTTTTTAATTGAGAAAGTGTGTGAATGAGCTTTAGTGAGCAAATAGATTGTAAAATGGGTTCTTTGAGAAAGAAAACCTTTCCCTTTTAAGAAAATTGATTAGCCGTTAAAGTTTAATGCAAATTTACTGCATATTGCAGGGCTGAAAAAGACAAAATTATTCTACAGAAGAAATTGAAAACTACTGGTGTTACTGTTGACCGTGTTGTTGGAGCAAGAGCCTCAGAGACTGAAAAAGAACTGGAAGAACTAAGGAAACAGAATCTTGATTTAGAAAATGAAATTGCTCATATGAGGTGAGAAGTATTTCAAGATAATCAGTAAAAAACTGAAAGACCTACATGCGACACTCTAAGAGATTGTTTTCTCTATCAGTTGATCCTTAAAAATGCCAAATTTCAAAAGTTTTTGTGTATAAGCAGCCTTGTCTATATAAGCTTCAAGTTGCTTGGGAGCAGTTGTGTTTAGAAAATAGGAAATACTGGTTAATTATTTCACAGGCTAAATATTCTTAAAAATATCTAGTTCTTGTGTAAAATTATAAATTTCTAGTTAGGGAACGATACTGTAATTTAGAAGTTGAGGTTATTGAGTGTATTCTTGATCAATGGGAGTAGCTTATGTACCTCAGTAACAGAAACTTTGTACAACTCAAGACGGCTGATTTGTTTTGCCAGATATCCGGGTTCATGGGGATTGGCTGAAATAGTGTACATAGTAAGACTGATTTTTAATAAAATGTAATAATGCAATATCCAGTCTAGTAAGCCAGAAGTCCATGTTTGTTTTTATATTAAGGGATGCTTCTATGCGTTAGCAGCGATTTGTTTGATTTTGCATGATTCATTTTTGAATTTAGAACACAGCAAGCTATTCCACGAGATTCTGTTGTAGAAGAGTTACATTTTAAAAACCAATACCTTCAGCAAAAGCTTCATGCATTGCAACAGCAAAGCTCAGGAGAGACATATTCTAGACACTCGGTAAGTTAAGAATGTAGCCTTATTACCTAAAAGAAGAACGTTTACTTAACTAACACATTTACTCTGCATTTATTATTCTATCATATGGTTGATTTTGTTTTCAACAGTAGTAGTCTAAAACAGGATGCGAAATACTTGGGCTTTAATGTAGAAAAAAAAATCCAGTTATTGTGTTCTGGAAGTTGAAGCTGAAATGCTCAGCATCATAAGCATATTTGGAGAAATAAGGTACATGTATTTTCAAATATCTGAGTCTTCCTCTGAGAGGCTAATTACATCTTTCATATCAGTTGAGAATTTGAAAATACATAGAGTTTGGAAAAACACTGGGTTTGATTTCAGTTGCCTTAGGTGCTGTTGTTATTTTTTTCTCTTTTGTTTTATACATTTTTCTTTTTTTTTAATATTATTTTCTGTTTTGTTTTACTATATTCTACTTTTCTTTCATGTTTGTTCTGTCTTCAACTTCAATCAGAGTACAACATATGACCAAACTGAACTGAATAACTCTGTTCCTATCAATATCAATACATGCAAATTTTTCAGTTACCTTCATAAGAAACCTATTTCAAGTAAGGATAAAATCAAACATCAGACTAACTTTAGCATTATCGATGGTAATGAAATAGATGAGAATGCAGACATTCCTAATAAAGGCCATGAGGCTACTGCAGGTCAAAGTACTGAAATGTTTCCAAAACAGCAATCTGAAGACAGTATAAAGTGCAAGGATCTAGATATTGAAGGATCAATGAGCAAAGCTAAAGCTGAAGATAATGAACAAAATGGCAAGGATGAAGAAAATATAACTGAGCCTGAAGAGGAAAAAAACAATGAGAAATGTGAAGACAGGCAGGAAGAAATACACAAGCAGTCAAATGTTGATGAAGAGGAAAGCAGAGAGGAGTCTTGTACTGGGAGATCGAGCTGCAATCATTCTGATTCAGGGGAATCTTCTAATCAAGCTAATGGCTGTGGGGGAGAAAATACAAAGGTGAATAATGAAACGCATAAACACACTGCTGAGTATAAACATGAAACCCAGCTTGCACAGAGGGAACTGAACCAACCTCAGAACTTTGTGAGATGTCCCAGGTTTGATGCTGTAGCAGTCCTTTAGCATTTTAGAGTATAAATGGTGTAGAATTAGAATAGTTTGATCTTAATGTAGTTGCTTCCCAAAGTATGGTCTGCAGGAATATCGAAGTAGTCACTGAGTGGTCCAGTAAACAAATCTTGCAGCTCTATTTGATGTGTGAATGTCAGCTCCCAAGTAAGCTGTTGTGAATTCCTGTTTTGCTCCAGAAAGTTTAGAAAATCACAATGATACATGCAGCTAACCAATGACCAGTATTTGTTCTTTAGGTGTCTTGTGACATAATATTTATTCTTGTTCTTAAAACATGCTTTTCTGAAGCACGTGCTTAATTTCCATGGATATTAATCATGAATGATATGGTTATTAATCATGAATGATAATATCATGAATGATATTAATCATGAATGAAAACTTTATTTTCTTTGGAAAGATCTGTTCTTTACAGGTGAGAGGTAACAGCAATTTATTATTAGAATGGGCAATATACGGCATACAGAGTACTCTTTATGTAATAGAAATAAATTACTAGCCTCCTTTGGTTAAAAAAAAAAATAGAAGAACTAATTCTGCCTAAGAACTAGATATATACACTGTTTTTCACTTGCTCTGTGATTAATCTTTGAATTCATGAAAAATTAATCTCATGCGTACTATTTAATAAAAGTACCACAATATGTACTTAAAATTAGATTCTACTCCTAGGTACAGTGCCACAGCTACCTACGTTCTGTAGATTTTTATCTTTTAGACTTTGAGATCTATTGAGAGTTAATTCTGGTTTAACAAAGTTTATGATGGATTTTACATTTATTTTAATAATTAAAATTATTAATTTTTGTTTTAATATTGTTAATATTTTTGCCTGGACTTGCTTAAAGTCCAGGTAGGTCAGATAAAAGCTGGTGGTGCAACTTACATCTCTGATGAATTTTATTTCACACAACTAAAGTGATGAAAAAATTTCAAAAGAATTTGTGTTTTAGGAACATTCTCTATTCTGTGAATGTTCTTGAAATTTGTTTTTCTGTGTAAAAAGTAGAATATTACTTCTCTGTTGCTCTTTTACAGATGGTAAAAGGAACAATACTTTGCCATTAAATGATAATTTACTGTTTTTCCTTTCTCTTCTTAAGACATCAGGAATAGGATCAAATCAATATCGAAGACAGCAAGAAGTTCTAAAGGAAAATTTGAGACTGTCTTCTGAAAATGTTGAGCTGAGATTCCAGCTGGAGCAGGCCAATAAAGATTTGCCGAGACTAAAGGTAACATCTCTGTAGAGGAAAAAAAAATGCATGAGTTGCTTAAAAAGAAATGTATACCTTTTCTGTAAATTGCTTTCTTTTTTCAAGATATACTTGTAATTTTATAACTGTTTACCTCAATTTAAAATCTCAATGTCTTGCTTATTAACTTTATTTATTTTTAGGACCAAGTGAGTGACTTGAAAGAAATGTGTGAACTTCTCAAAAAAGAGAAGGCAGAAGTTGAGCGTAAGCTGGGCAATGTTAGAGGGGTGAGTATTTTACTTTTTTTTTTTTTTTCATCACAGTTATATGAGAGTAAAATACAATAAATAATTATATTTGATTAAAACTCTTTGGAATGAACTGACAAACATCAGAAAGTGTTCTTGTCTATTTTTTTGCACAGTGTTGTAATATATTAATGAGAATTTCAGCTAATAGGACCATTCAAAGGAGTGAAGTTACACTAAGTATTTGCAGGGTCATGACCTTATTTTGTCATCTGGATTAAAAATCATCTCTAGAAATACATTTGTATCAAAAGTAGGAGTTAGAGCACTAGTAATGAAAATTATAATTTATGTTAATGAGTACTTAGTTACTGATTTAAAAAGTAGAATTTTGATGCGATGCAGGTGTTAGAAAGTGCAGCTTCCTGACAGTAAGTATTTGTGTGTTTTTCTGTGTAAGATGGCAGTTAAATTTTACCTCACTTCCTCTCCACTACATTAGTAGAGTGGCTGATATTTCAAAAGATGCAGGAAAAAAATGTTCCGGGAGTGCAGTCTCTCGTTACTGACTTCTCAAACTACTTACCATGGCATTTAAAGGAAATAGACTTAAAAGCTTTTCTTGAAAACTTTAGTGGATCTTTCAGGATAGCAGGAGAATGAATTCTGCTTCCTGGGAAAAATAATGATAATGGGGATTATGTTGGGCGTTTTATTGAAATATACAGAAGGTGAAAATAAGTCATTTTCACTTTCAAAACCTGATCACTGCCTAGGTTTTCTTAGGGCTCTAGGGAATAAAAGGTTCTGAACTATGGTCCTTACCTCTGAAGAAGAAAAAACAGATACTTTCAATGGTCTAAAATGGAAAACAGTTGTATCTAACAACTAAGAAAGATGATTCCTACAAAGAAGATGAGGAAAATAAATGCATTTGAACTTTCTCTAACCGTTTTTCAATCTCATAAATGAATACAGTGCAAGAAGAAAAGTAGAAAGTATGAGCTTTTTTTTGATCTTTCTTTTGTGTAATAATAGCCATTCAAATATTTTTAAGGCAGAACTAGGTCTTTTTATCATCCCTCTGAACGGAGAATATATGCCTTAGGAGAGAGATTTATTGCTTTAAAACATATTCCAAATTTTGAGACTTAACTGCAGGTTTCTTAAGTAACATGAGAAAATGAAGGAGTTGATATGGTGGCTTTGGATATGGTGAATCTATTTACATTTTTCATTCAGGAAATTTTCATTCATTGCAGGCAAGAAACCTCAGGATTCAAGTCACAACGCCAAAATGAAACAACTTTATTAAAAATACAAGACAATAAAAAAAAATCTTGAAACTTCAAGTATCTCAAAATGTTAACTTATTGTTTGCTTCATAGTACTTTTTTCTTTATTTCCTTTTTTTCTCCCTGTATAGGCTGGTAGAAGTGGAAAAACAGTCCCTGAACTGGAAAAAACAATTGGTTTGATGAAAAAAGTTGTAGAAAGACTCCAAAGAGAAAATGAAGATCTGAAAAAAGCTCCAGGTGCTGTTTCCAATGAGAAGTTACGAAGTCTTGAAAGGGAAAATGAGAGGCTAAAGGTACTCATTTTCCTTAAGTATCTATATTTAGATAGTAGTTTATATGCCTGTGGCTGGCATGGATTGGCACAAAAGTGCTTTTAAAATACCAAGTACAAAGCTTGTAGAACACAAATGTGTGACTCCATTTGTGACTCCAAATGACTCCATTTTGGCATAACATGTTACATAATTTATATAATGAAAATACATAATAATAATATGATACACTGAACACTGAAATACCCAACTTCTACAAAATTAAAAATATATTCTCAAGTGAGGATCATAACTTTTCTAGTAGGAAGTTCAAAATGTGTGATGGAATTAATGTGAACAGTTGTTCAGGGATAGGCACTGATAGCATAAAATATCTCTGAACATCTGCAGGATACAATTAAATATGTAATTAAGTGTTATGTTAAATGTGCAAGGTAATTATGCTGTGTTTTCTACTTTAACTTTCTACTAAGCAATATAAATGAACTGTTTTAACACATTTTGATATTTAGTCTGAAGTGGAAAAAATGAAACTTTATCTGGAGGGCCACCTAAGTACACGTAATGAATCTAAAGCCAAAGGCATGGAAAAAGCTATTACTGAAAATGAGAGACTACGTAAAGAACTGAAAAAGGTACGATCATTGTAATGCAACCATCTATTTGAATTAATTACTGATCGTGGTAAGTATCTTTGTTTTTTTTTCAAATGGCTGACATGGATTAGCACTTTTTTAATTAAAAAAAAAAATACTGACATGACAGGATTTCTTATCAGAAAGGGTTCTCTAAGGAACAGCCCAAGACAGAACTTTGAAGATGTAGTGCTAATGATCTGGGATATGCTATTTGTCTATACATCATTGATCCTACCTCATTATCATTTTAGATAATCCAGTGCTATGTATGAGGTTGTGTATTTCATTTCACTTGCTACTCTTATTGAACAACAGGAAATTGATGCTGGAGAAAAGCTACGAATAGCAAAGAATAACTTGGAGGTATTAAATAAGAAGTTAACTATGCAGCTGGAGGAAAATATTAAGAGGCTAAATTTGCAGGAGAGCAGAGACCCTCAGGTTGATGGAGCTGACAACAAAAAATGGAAATCACTTGTTGCAACAAGGTAGGAGTTGGGAATGAAGGGTAGACCATACAGTTAATCTGATGTGAATTCAGCAGAGATCTAGTTTCTTTCAACATTTTCAAAACCTGCCTGGATGCAACCCTGTGCCACGTGTTGTAAGTGTCCCTGCTTGAGCAGTGGAGTTGAACTAGATGATTTCTAGAGCTCCCCTCCAACCTCAACCGTTCTGTGTTTCTGTGTGATTGGCCCTGTTAGCTGGTTATTTTTTCTTTCTTCTGATCAGCTGAATAGCTTGTCCCTTAGTGCTTAAATATATTGTGATATGCTTTTGGAGTAACATCAGCATCTTTTCTCAAGAGTAATACCTTACCACAAAGACAACAATCTGAAAAAACACTGGACGTCAGTAACTCTGGTCTAGTTTTGCACTGTTTGCACCGACTTATGGCCATGTGAACATGCATATTTTTTGTTTAGGAGCACACTGGAATTTCCATGCTCCTTGGAACATGCAGACGCAGCTAAAGGTCCTTCATATGCTCTCTGAAGGTCCTGAAAGTTAACTGCATGCAGCTACTCAGTTGATTCTGTTATTTGTAGAAGGGAGAAAAGCTCAGGGACTAGAATTAGACCATTTTTTTAATACATAAAAAGTAGTGTGTGAATGGTCACTTTCTCATACTTTGAAATAATGAAGCCTCAAAAATTGAATTCACCATCAAGAATTACTTTATTAGGGTAATAATAATAGACTTTTACAGCTCTGCACCAGTCAGTTATCTGTTGTTTTTAAATTTTTGATCCATCACTTAGTGTAGCGCACGCTGACAAGAACAGTTCTGTGGCACCAGTTTTTCCATTGCAAATTGCAACATGCAATCCTTTGTACTCCTGCTCACGTGACTTTACCAATGTCTACTTATTTATAAAGACTGGAGATCTTGACTCTAGAGCCTAAGAGACTTCAGTTACATTCTTTTCTTAACTAGAACCAAGCTGTTTAGTACTGTGTTCTGTGGCCTGTTCTTAAGAAATAGTCACCTCCGCAGTCACCCCAAAACCATTGCTATCCCAGAAGCATTACTACAACACCAGTTTTCAATAGAGTTATATAGAAATACTCTATATTGGTGCATCAGTATGTTTAAAAATGAACAGTTTCATAGAGAATATAAAGACTGAAATATATATTCATGTGAAAGGTGATAGTGCTTCATTAAAGTGAAGGAAGAAGTTCTTGCTTGAGATAGGATGATACCCAGTTAAAAACTTATGTTCTGGCTCATCAAGGAACAACAAAGAATAGCTTTTCTTTCATTTTATTTACCTCTTTTTAAAACATTCGTTCTACTTGATTTACTTGATACATATATGTATGTATATATGTATGTATATATGTATGTATATACATACATGTACTACACTGTTGTAACTAAAAGCTTTTATTTACATTTGCTTTAACATATTGAAATGTGATTTTAAAGTAAGCGAATACCATCCAGACATAGCTTACCATGGGAAGCTTATTTGGGCATCTTAGCATTTAATCCACCTCATCACAACACCCTCAAAGCATTTATGGGGTAACAGCGACCTTACTAGGGCAGATAGAAGCATCATGTGAGTGACATGTGGGACGGCTCTTCTGCAGGTAGGAAGATGTTGGGGAGTGCATAAGTATCTGAAAACATACCTTAGGGGATTACACTAAAAAACTTAAGAAGTGCTTTCCAACCAAGTCTGTGATTCTACAAAACCCTTTGTTAATTATTTTTGAATGCTTGTATGATTTGAAACAAAACTGCATTATTCTTCTCAGTTTATAGTTACACTGGGATAAACATAACTGCTTAGAAAACATTTTCTTTAAAGTCCATCATCTTTATCTGCATTAAACCTTCTAAGATGTTATTTTCTATAAACTGTTAAAAAATGTACTGTCAAAGTATTTTAGACCTGATGAATGTTACACTGCATCATTCAAATGAGTACAATAAGAGACTTCTGCATGCTTTTAACAGGAGGTAGACTGGAATATATGTGCAATATCCTAAAAACAGATTTTTGTTTTAAATGTAGACCTGAAGTAAGAAAGATCCACAAAGGTGTAGTGTTTTGAAAAGTCTTTTCCAAAATATATTTCTCATGCTTTACTCGGCTTGATTTATGAACAAGACCTGTAATTATTTCAAAGCTACCCTGGACATTTTATGATGTATGGTATATCACTTCCTGAAATATATAAGTCTCGGTTTCTGTAAAAGATTAGCTTATGTTCTCTATTTTTTTTTTTTTTTTATTTCTATTTTCAGGATGTATGAAACTAAGGTGAAGGAACTGGAAACTGCTATTGCTAAAAAAGACCAAAGCATTACTAACCTTAAACAGTTGCTTCAAGAGGCAACAGAACGGGAACACAATGCTGATAAATACTTACAAGACTTGAAAGAACAAGTGAGTAAAACTATCCAGAACACCATGAATAGTTTTGTTGTAAAGGATTTTTTTTCTTTGATCATAGGAAAGTTTTTAGGCACGGATACTTCTATCTGTCTTAAAATCTTTTAGCTTTCTCAACAGAGGAAGTTTACTGCAGGAACTTTCTTGCATTTTTTTGACTGACTTAGATATGAAATTCAACTTCAGGATGGCAATTTCCAGTTGGCATTATGTGGGTTTTTTTGTTTGTTTGTTTTTGTTTTTGTTTTTTTTAATACATTTCACGCATGAGGTGCAAAACGGTTAAAAAGAATAAGGCAATTTCAACAGCTAGAATAAGGTGTGGTTAGAATAAGGGAAAATTACACATTATCCCCCATTTATCTTTTTAACCCTTACAAATAGAATCAAATATTTCCATCTTAACTGTGATGACTGTGGATACAATTTTTAAAGTAAAACTTTGTTACCTTTCAAGATTGAGATTCTCAAACACTTCCCTGAAGGGGCTGCGACAGAGGAAGGCCTCATCCAGGAACTTCAACTTTTAAGGTAATGTAGTTGAAAAAACAATAGCCAATATACATGACATAAGAATGATCAGAAAATAGCCATTGCAACTCTTAGATATATATTTATGTTATAAAAATATTCTAAAAATATTTTATATTACAGATTAACTAATAATCAGTTGGAGAATGAGAAAGCAGAGCTAGCTCACCAGGTGGAAATTCACAAGCTACGAGTAGACACAAATACGACTGAAGGCCCTGCAGCTGGTACTCATTTTCAACACCTTAAGCCCTTGTGTTTTGGATTCAAGATTTTTTTTCATGTAATATGTATTCAAGGGGAAAATAAACCTACTGAAGAATTTGAATTACATTAATGCCAAAATAGCATGAACTGGAGGAAAAATAAGGCCTCATTTTAACTATGTAATATTTTTATAAAGAAATGTTTGTAAAAAATCTCAGCAACTTAGTAATGTGGAAGAGAAGCTGAATTTTTGGTAAAATTTTTCCTGTCAGAATGGATGTGTATTTGATAATACCCCTTTAAAATTTGACTACTGTTAAGATTTCAGACCTTCATTGAAACTGTTGCCTACTTGTTGAGGATTTTCAGCTCCCACCAAACAAATGACTTCATAGGGATCACTTGCATTAGGAATTTGGAGTCATACAGGAAATTCAAAATCTTGGTTAGGTCTAGCTCATGAGTCTTAGAAGTCAGTACAAAATGTTGTACACTTTATAATGCTGTAGCAATAAATATTAGCAAACATTCTGTTGTTAATGGAACTGAGGGCAAAGCTGTGAGCTTTTCGTATGCTCGACTGAAAAACTCCTTTAAATTCTTCCTTTAAATGAGAATCGTCCCTAAGTGATGTGAGGCCTACCTGCAGAATCATGTCAAGTGGAAAAATAATCAGTGGCATAATTAATGTTCATTTTCAACAGTCAAGTTAGCTTTTGACTCTAGAATTTTCTAGAGATCTTGTGTGTGTGTCTGTGTGTGTGTGTCTGTGTGTATGTGAGAGAGAGAGAGAGATGGTTTTTTTCTCTATCTGGTTTTCAGTTGGAACTGTAGGGGTTTTCTTAGGCCAATTGTCTCAACAAAAAGGATAGAGAGGTGCCCTAAAACCTTGGTAGTAAACAATAGGCAAGTAAAAAAGAAGGAAGAATGATTTTCTTGGGCTTCCTCCAAATTCAAGGAAAAAAACAAAAAAAAGGACATGTAAGTGAGTCCTGTAGGTAAGATAATTGCTAGGTCTGTTTCCACGTATTAGCTCTAGGAATTGTTTAAGCATTACCAGAGATTCCTTCTGCTGAAAGGACACATATATTTTTGATATCCATATGGAAAACAGAGCAGAGCAAGAACAGGAGGCCACGAAGAACATTACAGAGCAGCATGTTGCCATTTGATAGTTAAAAAAAAAAGTATAACTACTGCAATAATGAGTTATAAGATTTAGAGACCACGATCTACTTTTTACAAGAACTAAAGGGAAACTCGTATTATCTAAGCCTGTTCTGGTGGTTTTATGCAAAACCAGGTTTGCACGTTAACTGTCTCAGTTTTTATTGTTCATTTTATTCATCTAGTTCATTTCATTACTTTTAAATTTCTTTAATTATCATTTTGCAGGGCATAATGGAATCCTAGATAAGAATAAAAATGATAAGTTAATGACAGAAGTAGCTGATCTTCAGACAAAACTGCATGCCTCAGATCTGGAAAAAGAGCAGTTAAAGGTGAGGTGTAAGGTTTGTGCCATCCTATGCAAGATAAACGAGCAAAGTTATGGGCAGCTCGAAAGATCTGTTTAATACCTAGTTAAACTTAATTATTAAATTGTTGGTTAAACATATCCCCTAGAACATGGCTTTGTTATTTATGAAGCTTGTTTTCTATTTTATGAATTTGCTGTTATTGGATAGATTTTACTATTTGTACAGTGAAAACATTCTTATTCTGATCATTTACCCTTTTAAGGAGAAAAAAAGTCAACACAGCTACTGTCGGAATTTACTTCCTAAGTTCTAGAGAGGTATATAGAATTTTTATTTTATTCATTTTATAGGAAGAAATAAAAAGACTAAGAAAAGAACTGGACAACTTTGATCCTTCCTTTTTTGAAGAAATTGAGGACCTGAAATATAACTACAGTGAAGAAGTGAAAAAAAATATTATCTTAGAAGAAAGACTAAAACAGCTTTCTGAGGGTCTTGGTATTCATGTGGATATTCCAGCCAATACTTCTGCTGACTAGGCTATGTTTAATAAACTCTGTATCACTACAGAAAATAAATTCTGAGTAATCACATAATACTGTTCATTATTTATCTGTTTTTATCCTGGTATGCTAAAAGTCCCTCAAAGGTGCAACAGGTGCACATTCCTAAGGGTGCAAAATCTAATTAAGATAATAAATGAATTGGAGGCAATATTTATCTCTTGTAGTCAAAACAGAAAACTAGTCTTACCCCCTGCACCTTGTGTGAATGTAGAACAGTAATTTTGGGCAGATGCTGTTATTCAGGAATGCAGGAATTCCTTTTAACCTAAAAGATCAAATGCACTCAACAAGCTAAGGGTGGTAAACACCACATCAATAATATGTAATTTGTTCTTGCTGTCTCCTGCTAGCATGTATTTCACATAAAGACTCAGGGTCACTGTGCAGGTTGTCTCCAGTCAAAGAAGAACGTTGATTATTTTCTACCTCTATTTTGGAAAAATCCAAGAATGAAGATGTAAAAATAAATGTGTAATGTTTCAGCCAAGGTAACTATTTCTGTAGATAAATGTACAGTTGCTTCCAATTTTTTTTTAGGTTTTTATATACTTTGTATAGCTGGATGTATACTTTCATAATATAGACAAAATAAAGCTCACTGCATTCATTGTGTATTCTCACTTTTATTAATCTCTTTTGAAAAATAACATGTTTCCCTTGATATACAGTTCCCCAATTAAGATGCAGTCATAAAAGGGGTATTACGAGACCATGGCTTTTTCTAATTACCAAGGACTTCAAAACAGATCTAGCATACTTTCTACTGCTTACCCTGTTTTTTTTTCTTGTGTATCCCAAAATAGTGGAAATACCTGCAAGACACAGCTTAAATAAGTTTAAGTAGCAACTTGCTGCATATCGCTGTAGCTTATTAGTTAAATAATACACTGGAAAGTATTCAGCCAAGAAAAACTGCTGCAACTTAAACTTAGCACATTTCAGACCTCTTTCTGGTCCCAAATGAAATCTGCCTTTCACTGATAAGAAACAATGAGATCCTAAATCTGAATTCTAAATGTAAGTGTCCTAATTGTATGTAAGGAAGTGTAACCTATGGAAACTTTTACAGTTGGCTGCATTCATGAAATAAGCTACAAGGACTAGCCAGTGTCAGACAACATACTTCTTACTTAGCAGTTTCAAGAAACAGCTTTTGAACCTAAGGATTTTTCAGAACCGACTATTAAGCAGAGAGATCTAGCTATAAGCATGCTGTGAATGTCACATTTCCTTTTGTGAGCTATAGTTTTGCATAAATGGCTATTTTTACTTAGAGTTCAGCTAGGCTGTTACCTAAGGGACAAAGTGCTTTGTTAAGAGTTCTCTGTGATAAACAGAAAAATAGGAGGAATGCAGCAAATGGCAATGAATTTAAAAGAAAAATCTTTCAAGCATCAAAGTTGATATCTTTTAATCTGTCAAATCTTTGACCATCTAGCTTTGAAAAATGGTGAAACAAACTCTTTGGTTCAAAGTTGCAGTCATATTTTGTTCTATTAAAGGAAATGACAACAGGCTGAGAATTCAGATATGTTTCTGCAGTTGGCCAGCGTAAACCAAGATGATGGCGATGGAGCTGGAATAAAAGAAACAGGATCACTTTAGAGACTGTAATATAGTAGTAACCCAACACTTGCCAGCTACTGGAGCCGATGATTTGAAGATCCCTTGCACTGGGTCATTCACTATCCATCGCCCTTATTCATCATTTTAGTGATTAACAAAGAAGCACAAAAGGCAAGCTAGAACCAAGGTGTCCTCCACAGCTTAAGAAATTACATTAACTTGTCTTTTACTCAAAGAGGACACTTTTCTTATTTAAAAAAAAATAAGTCAACATTACAAAAGATAGATTACCAAAATAAAAGAAGTCTTACAATATCGAGAGCTTCGTATACAGACAAGGAAGATAACCATTATTCTATTCTCTCAATTACTTCATTAATGGGGAAAAAAAAAGTATAGTGTCATTACCGTAATCACCATTCAGCAGCCTGGCTAACTGCACTGTCACACAATTTCTTAGGAAAATGTTTACTACCGAAGAATTTGGAAAACAAGGTAAAGGTTTCCAAGCAAGCAAGACACAACCAGCTAGTATAAATTATGACAGTACTTTCTGACTAGGCACTAATACTTTTCATTATGACTAAAATTAGCTTAAGTCTTAAAGACTGCAATTACTCAAGCAAGAATACAAACAGCTTGTGTTATTTCCATATTCCTATGACAAAATGAAACCCTAGTAGGTGCTGGAATACCAGAGCTCTACCTTGAAAGATCAATAGACTCTGGAAATCTACAGGATCTAATAGGTTGTTGTCCATTTGTTTTATGAATATGCATGGACATCAACAGTTTACATGGGGAACATCATAGTAGTATTTATATGGAAATAGGATTTTTGAAGACAAGAGATAAAAGAATTGATAGAAGTTGTCACATCCTAATTCTTCTGTTTCAAAAATACCTATGAGTATTTTTTTTTCACTCAAACATAAGCAGCAGTAAATATTGCTTAAATATATTTTCTTTCTCCTGGCCTTTATTTTTTCTTTTTCAGTGCTTTTTTTTTTTTAAAAAAGTTGGGGACTTTTAAATTGATTTTTGTGTGCTAATCTATATTTACCTTGATTAAACGTCCATCGTTGCAATGCCACACAATTCCTTCAACTTTACCCTCGCTGCAGCCTTCAAACCAGGACAATATATCTTTTTGTTTCAAAGCAGGTGAATTCTTAATTTCAAATGCTCCATGCGGTACAAGAAAATGTACAGGCTGTTTCTTGCTTCCTAATCCTGTGTTAAAAGAAACATAAGCCTTCCTGATAGCCTGATAACAATCCGAGCTAAGAGTTTCCTCACTTTTGTTACTACAGCTATAACAAAAACACGCTATCAAAGTAGATTTCTATTGGATACTGCAATTTTGTCTTCCTTTAAATAGACAAATAAACATATCTAACTACAAAAAAGAGACCAAGGCAAGACACTGAAATACCTGTCTGTGAAGTGCATTAAACATGAGCTCAAGACCATATCTTCATCACTGAGAAAGATTACTTCAACAGTAGAGCTCTTTTTCCTCTCAAGTGGAACACAGCTCTATGCCAAAACAGCATGAGTAGTTTTCTCCAGTTACATACATGCAAAACTGAACTTTATGCTGCATTTTCATATCAAGGAAGCTACTGTCATGCAGAAGCTTATACTGTTCTCTGCAAGAATGAACTGTTCTGCTTAACCGGAAAGACTCAAGTTAAAGCAACTCTACAGCATCTCCTGAAGAACATGAATGCAGAAAGAGGTCTAACAAACAAATGGACTCATAACTACTCAGCTTTACTATTTTAGGTACTATGCTGTGAACATTCTTTGAGCTATTCCTTCATTCCATTCTAAAAAGGCTACATTACTAGCTAGAACATAGAACTTTTTTTGTTAGACAAAATAGTAGTACATGTTTCAATCAAAATTATCACTCAATATAAAAGTATTCAACAAGGAACTATACTTACCATATGGATTTGCATTAATATTAGTTCCAATAAGCTCCAGTGTTTGTTCTAAAAGGTCTGACAAAGGCACCGGACTGATTTCCAGAAGCCCAGGGTCAGCATGGTGCTTCAAAACCAGCGCTATTTCAGCATCATAATTTATAACAGATGAGTGCCAGCAATACTGTTTACTATTTTTCTCCACAGGCACCCAGCCTAAGAAAAAACATTGTATTTTACCAAACTAAAAGCATAGATTTATCAAATGCTTATCAGAACTCTACATGCATTAAAAATCAGATACCTTAACTATGAACAGAAAGTGTATATATGCCGTATCTCCAAAAAATGTCAAAGGAACTTTAAAATGAGAACTATGGTTTCAGTTGAAGTTTCCTGAGACTCTACAGTTCATGGACACAAGTAATTATTTTTGCTGTGTCATAACTTACTGAGAAGTGAACAACTGATATTCATTTTGTTTTCTGAATATGTTGCTACTACATGTAATTCAGAAACTAGCTCTAGTTCACTTAAAAAACATTTTTTTTCATTTTAACTGTGTTTTTCTATACATACCTGGCATATGTCCATTTTCATCAGGCAAAGGATTCCCATTACAGAACTCTATTTCCTTTGCTGGAATCCAGCAATCTGGAACAGGCTTGAAATCTTCTTCAATATTCCAAACAAACTCTAAACATATATATGTGACATTTAGTTTCTGGCAAACTCTTAGCCATTTTTACATTTTGAAACTCTTGCAATGTCAGAATTAAAACACTATAATAAGATATGATTTTTTTAAAATATATTTTTAAAGGTGATATTCACAGTTACTCGGTACAAGTACCAAACCATATTTTGGCAGTCTAGAATTAGAATAGTTTGAAGTAGCATAAAAGCATTTGGGAAGTTTAATATGTTAAAACTGACTCAGATTCAGAAACACTGCTTAGATAGCCAACATTATATTTAAACTACAGCAAGAGAAGTAAAGTTAGGAATGACATTAAGAAGAAAAATTATGGAGTGGGATCACTGACATTTCCTCATTAGACCCAAGGTGTTCATACACCTGAAATGCCTACATTACCAATGCAGGAAAGAGATATTCACCAACCTTTGCTATCTTCCAGAGAATACAGGAATCGTTTAAACTTCTTCTCAGCTTGTTTGTTGGGTTTTCTATCCAACCTGGCCCACAGGTATGGCTGCCCTAGAAATGCCACAGATATAAAGCAAGCAGTTTATTTAGGTAACACTACTCTCTGCATAGCATTGAAACTGATTATGTAAAAATAAAATATCTATTTGTCACTGAAGAAACTTCATTATTAACTATAATTCATAAAAGATCACAGTCTTCTCATTTCTTCTAAACGTTCTCTTTTTTTAATCCTCAAGGAAATTAAACACCTGTTATATAAATTCTTGAGTATAAAAAAAGTTTAATGATTGAAAATATTCAAGTGGATTAGCCCAGTTTCTTACTTTGTGTGTAAACTTAAACTTCATATATGCTGGAGACTAAAATCTGTAACAATTTTATAGATGTCTATGAAATTGTATTTACAGCAACTATAACACTAAACTGTCAACTGTTTAGTTAAAAATTTTTAATTCCTCAAATGCTATAATCTTAGGAAAACATAGAATAGAGGGGGAAACTAGGGGAAACATAAGGCTACTGGACAACATAAGAAATAAGCATATGGATCTTCCATTACCTTTGTAAGTAGTTACGTAACAGCAGGTTCCATCTACCTTCTCAGTAGGAATTGCATTATATATATCCGCATCTAATGCTTTCCGACTTATAGTTTCAGTTGCCAATACTTTAAATGGCTGAGAAGAAGACAGACATGTTAAACCCCCATCACAACTGCCTGTTGTCACTGATTCTTGCTTGTTATAGTTGCCCTTTACAAAGACAAAATTATACATGATAATTGCTAATACTACCTAAACACAACCTTATTTCTTCCAAACATTCGTTTGACACATGCCGTAACACGAAAGAACAAAGGCAACCTACTTGCAAACTATTTTCCCTTTTTCCATTCTTGATTTATATTTACAGATGACTTCAAGTAGTGCCTATAATTTAGAAGGGCTCCACCCCAATGACACAAAATTCTGAAATGTGCCTCCCTGCATGTCTATGGCAATTGAAGTTCAACATGTGTCTAACGACCATTTGCTCTTCTGGTTTGGAGCTGAAAGTCAGTAGCTGCTCTGCAATAGTGGTTAGTGCTAATGCTAAAAATATGTTGGTTCAATACAGCATACCAGCATTAACTACCACTTAACTAACCACTAGCACTTACCAGTGTTGTCAACTAAACATTTTCCCCTTAAAAAAGGCAAAGAAATAAGTGATCTGGGAATCTGCAACTATTCCAAATTTCTATGAGATACAGAACTCATTTCAATAGGATTTCAATTTCAATGAAAACGTGATCATTTGTTTTTAGGTTAAGATATTTTCCTGTATAATAACTATATTTTCCTCTGCAATAATAATCCATCCTTCTCTCTCTAATCAGTTTTGAATTGTAAGATCTTTCAATAAATCTTTTTTATTTTTTTTTCTGATGGCAAAAAAAAAGCAGCAGATGTCCTTCTCTTGCAAAACTTTCCCATTTCTATGAATTATACAAATTGTCTTCAGAACCTTCTTCCAGCTTTTCTTTACATTACATGGCCTTTATACATATGTACTTAGATGGGGAAAAAAAAAGAAACAAATAAACAAACAAAAGAAGTGTATGTTTACCCATATGTACATACCAGTTGCAGCTCTAACCTCATGTTCTTTTTCATAGACATCTTTTTCAAAAACAACAATACAGGGCAATACACTGACAGACCATCATCGATGTGGGGCAGGCACCTAGAGTTTAACTACTAAGCTATTTACACAATAAGGGCATTTTTGCCCCTCCACCCCAAAGTCAAGCACTCAGGGCAAGAGAAAACACGCAGATGGGCACGAGTATCCTGGACAGGCGGGGAGCAGCAGCAGGTGCCACCACGAAGCGAATCAAAAAACCTAAGTCAGGAAGTCTGTCATTAGACCTAACCCCACACTCGGCCTCTCCAAAATACCCTTCTTATATCTCGCCAACAAGTGACTTCGATTTTGCTCAACTATTTTCACTTCTGCAAGCCTGCAAGCCTGCAGACTCAGAGGAAAATTCCGAGGAGAGGCAAGGGGGAGAGGCAAGGGGTGGGAGGCAAGCGGGGAGACGCAAGGGCCGGGAGGCAGGGCGGGAAGCGGCAAGGGCCACCCGCCGCCTCCCGGCTCGGGCCGCGGGGCTGCGCCGACCTGTCGCTCCCGCTTGGCCGAGGGCTCCTCCTTCACCTCGGTCACGAACAGACACGGCACCTTCTGCTGCACCGAACCCTTACGGCTCATGGCCGCGCCGCCTGCTCGTCGCCGTCCCCGGCCGCGCCGAGGGCCGCGCCGCGCCTCCGCCTCCGTCAGTGAGGAGAGAGGAGGCGGCGCCGCCGCTCTCCGCCCCTGCGCCCGCCTGCGGCTCTGCGTGTGGAGCGGGTCGGGCCGCCATGGCCGCCGCACGAGCGCCGCCCCTGACGGGAGGCGCCATCGGCGGCGCGGGGGTGGCCGCTCGCTAGCCCCGATTTACCGATTCACTGAAACGAGATTAAAAGTCTGCTTCATGAAGGCGCTTAGGCAGTACATGAATTGTGCTTGGCTCATCTCTCATGTTCAGTATAAATTACAAGTCCATCTGTAAGTACAAAGAGTCTCATTAAGCTCTGGAACATCCCAAAACACTGAGCAAAAATTCCCCACCTTCCATATGCAAAAGCCAAAGAGGCAGAACTTTATAAAACATACCTCAAGGAATGATCATTAGCAGGGAGTTAGGTTAGACTGTCAAAAACTTCCCTGTCCACTTCTCCAATAGCATCGTTATGTTACGTTCACTTTACTCTTACAGCTCAGGTCAGTCACTGTATTAAGGCTGTTACAATGTTATGTTGTTCCCTATTACAGTCTGTATCTGTATCTATCAGCTTCCGTTCTCCTTGCCTGACCAGTTCTGCATACGTATCTTTCCTTCTCACTAGAACCACTAGAATTCAAAAGTACTTGTGCTTTCCCAATAACAAAGAACCATACAATAGGGGGAAAAAAAAAAAAAAAACCAAAACTAACCAACCAATCAAAAAAACCCGCCAACTTAATCATACACTGTAGTTTAGTTTGTCCTTCTGAAGTTTTGGTTAGGACTCGTTTTGCTTCGTATACAATAAATATATATATAAAAAAAAGTATACATAAACCAGGACTCAGCGGATGAGTCCAACAGAATAGAAATATACTCTTTTCTGTTAAGTATGTCAATACTAGCTTGTCTTCAATTTACAAGACTAGTATGAAATAGAACACTGTGACTTTTTGTATAAGGAAATGCTGTCTTCCTCCAGTACACTTCCAAAAGTTCTAATCCAGACAGTCCTCATAAGAGAGTTATGTCACTGATATAATAAGAAAATTGTAAAATACTTCCATATGCCTTTTCTTATAGAGTAATACCCTACGCTTAACAAAACTATGCTACTCAAAAGTGAACTCAAGAAGAAGGGGCTTATCACAGAATGGAATAAGGTGAGCCACTCATAAATGAGAAAAATTTGAGAGAAGGAGACAACGGACAGGCAGCATCGGACCAGCTGTGGAAAGGGGATGGAAAAAGAAGCATAGGGGTCGAAAAGAGCTGTGCTGGGAACAGTTTTTTGGGGTTTGGCCCTAAAATGAGTTCCAGCTAGTTGCAGCATGGTCATGAAAAACTGGTTCAGATTTAGGGTCAGAGTTATGCTTAGGACTGAGAGAACAGGAGAGTGTAGGGGCACCATTACAGTAGGTGTGGAAAGGGGCTTAAAAAAAGAATCATACCAGTGCCAAAAGAGATGTGCTAGAAGCACCTTTTTAAAACTGGTGAAAAAATGAGTTCTACTGACAAAAGAGGCCTGAAGAAAAAATGTTTTACACCTATGGTTAGGGCTGGTGTCCTTTACCAGCCTCCTTCAACTGCCACTGGATTGCTATATCTGCGCTCTCTCCTCTTCCGAACCCTAAATCCAGCCCTAACTGGGAAAAATTTTTTCAGGCCAGAGCTGGAACTAGGACCCATGCTGTGGCCATAACCAAAAAGTGCTCCCAGCACAGCTCTCTTGGCACCGCTAGGATTCCTTTGACAGCCATTTTCCACGCCAACTCCAATGCTGCCTCCACGCTTTCCCCTTTTCTGAACCCTAACCCTAACCCTAGGTGGGAAAGTTTTTCAGGGCCGGGCGGCCACTAGCACCCATGTTGTGGCCAAAACCAAAAAGTGCTCCCAGCACAGCTCTCTTGGCACCACTTGGATTTCTTTCACAGCCCCTTTCAACTCCAACTCCAGTGCTTCCTCTACGCTTTCTCCTTTAGTGAACCCTAACCCTAACCCTAGGCGGGAAAGTTTTCCAGGGCCGGGCGGCCACTAGGACCCATGTTGTGGCCAAAACCAAAAAGTGCTCCAAGCAAAGATCTCTTGGCACCACTAGGATTCCTTTCACAGCCCCTTTCCACTCCAACTCCAGTGCTTCCTCCACGCTTTCTCCTTTTCTGAACCCTAACCCTAACCCTATACGGGAAAGTTTTCCATGGCCGAGCGGCCACTAGAACCCATGTTGTGGCCAAAACCAAAAAGTACTCCCAGCTCAGCTCTTTTTCCACCGCTACGATTTCTTTCACAGTCTCTATCTACACCCACTGCAATGTTGCCTCCACGCTTTCTCCTTTTCTGAACCCTAACCCTAACCCTAAGCCTAGGTGGGAAAGATTTTCAGGGCCAGGATGCCACTAGGACCCATGTTGTGGCCAAAACCAAAAAGTGCTCCCAGCACAGCTCTCTTGGCACCACTAGGATTTGTTTCACAGCCTCTTTCCACTCCCACTGCAATGTTGCCTCCACACTTTCTCCTTTTCTGAACGCTAGCCCTAACCCTAGGCGGGAAAGGTTTTCAGGGCCGGGCTGCCACTAGGACCCATGTTGTGGCCAAAACAAAAAAGTGATCCCAGCACAGCTCTCCTGGCACCGCTACGATTCCTTTCACAGTCCCTTTCAACTCCAACTCCAGTGCCATCTCCACGCTTTCTCCTTTTCTGAACCCTAACCCTAGGCGGGAAAGTTTTCCAGGGCCGGGCTGCCACTAGTACCCAGGTTGTGGCCAAAACCAAAAAGTGCTCCCAGCACAGCTCTCCTGGCACTGCTAGGATTCCTTTCACAGTCCCTTTCCACTCCCACTGCAATGTTGCCTCCACGCTTTCTGCTTTTCTGAACCCTCACTCTAACCCTAATCCTAGGTGGGAAAGCTTTTCAGGGCCGGGCGGCCACTAGGACCCACGTTGTGGCCAAAACCAAAAGGTGCTCCCAGCACAGCTCTCTTGGCACAGCTAGGATTCCGTTGACAACCCGTTTCCACACCAACTCCTGTGCCATCTCCACGCTTTCTCTTTTTCGGAACCCTAGCCCTAACCCTAGGCGGGAAATTTTTCCAGGGGTGAGCGGCCACTGGGACCCATGTTGTGGCCAAAACCAAAAAGTGCTCCCAGCACAGCTCTCTTGGCACCACTAGGATTCCTTTCAGAGTCCCTTTCCACTCCAACCGCAGTACTTCCTCTACGCTTTCTCCTTTTCTGAACCCTAACCCTAACCCTATGCCTTGGTGGGAAAGATTTTCAGGGCCGGGCGGCCACTAGGACCCATATTGTGACCAAAACCAAAAAGTGCTCCCAGCACAGCTCTCTTGGCACCGCTACGATTCCTTTCACAGCCTCTTTCCCCTCCCACTGCAACGTTGCCTCCACGCTTTCTCCTTTTCTGAACCCTAACCCTAACCCTATACGGGAAAGTTTTCCAGGTCTGGACTGCCACTACGACCCATGTTCTGGCCAAAACCAAAAAGTGCTCCCAGCACAGCTCTCTTGGTACCACTTGGATTCCTTTCACAGCCCCTTTCCACTCCAACTCCAGTGCTTCCTATATGCTTTCTCCTTTTCTGAACCCTCACCCTAACCCTAACCCTAGGTGGGAAAGGTTTTCCAGGGCTGGGCTGCCACTAGGACCCATGATGTGGCCAAAACCAAAAAGTGCTCCCAGCACAGCTCTCTTGGCACCGCTACGATTCCTTTCACAGTCCCTATCCACTCCCACTGCAATGTTGCTTCCACGCTGTCTCCTTTTCTGAACCCTAACCCTAACCCTAGGTGGGAAAGGTTTTCAGGGCCGGGATGCCACTAGGACCCATGTTGTGGCCAAAACCAAAAAGTGCCCCCAGCACAGCTCTCTTGGCACCACTTGGATTCCTTTCACAGTCCCTTTCAACTCCAACTCCAGTGCCATCTCCACGCTTTCTCCTTTTACCCTACCCCTAACCCTAACCCTAGGTGGGAAAGCTTTTCCAGGGCCGGGCTGCCACTAGGACCCATGTTGTGGCCAAAACCAAAAAGTGCTCCCAGCACAGCTCTCCTGGCACCGCTACGGTTCCTTTCACAGTCCCTTCCTCCTCCCACTGCAACAATGACTCCACACTTTCTCCTTTTCTGAACCCTAACTCTAACCCTAACCCTAAACCTAGGCAGGAAAGGTTTTCAGGGCCGGGCGGCCACTAGGACCCATGATGAGGCCAAAACCAAAAAGTGCTCCCAGAACAGCTCTCTTGGCACTGCTACGATTCCTTTCACAGTCCCTTTTCACTCCCACTGCAACAATGCCTCCACACTTTCTCCTTTTCTGAACCCTAACCCTAACCCTAACCCTAGGTCGGAAAGATTTCAAGGGCCGGGTGGCCACTAGGACCCATGATGTGGCCAAAACCAAAATCTGCTCCCAGCACAGCTCTCTTGGCACCACTTGGATTCCTTTCACAGCCCCTTTCAACTCCAACTCCAGTGCCATCTCCACACTTTCTCCTTTAGTGAACCCTAACCCTAACCCTAGGTGGGAAAGATTTTCAAGGCCGGGCGGCCACTAGGACCCATGTTGTGGCCAAAACCAAAAAGTGCTCCCAGCACAGCTCTCTTGGCACCACTTGGATTTGTTTCACAGCCTCTTTCCACTCCCACTGCAATGTTGCCTCCACGCTGTCTCCTTTTCTGAACCCTAACCCTAACTCTAGGTGGGAAAGGTTTTCAGGGCCGGGCTGCCACTAGGACCCATGTTGTGGCCAAAACCAAAAAGTGCTCCCAGCACAGCTCTCTTGGCACCGCTACGATTCTTTTCACAGCCCCTTTCCACTCCAACTCCAGTGCCATCTCCACGCTTTCTCCTTTTCTGAACCCTAACCCTAGGCGGGAAAGTTTTCCAGGGCCGGGCTGCCACTAGTACCCAGGTTGTGGCCAAAACCAAAAAGTGCTCCCAGCACAGCTCTCTTGGCAC